GTTCGCGCACTCCTCCACCCCCCCGAAGGTGGGCTGCCCTCCCAGAGAGGAGGGATGGTAGGAACGTGCCGTGCAACAGGAAAACTAGGGTCTCCAGAAATAAATTACTCCGCTGCAAGCGGCGCTGCCATATTGGAGGGAAAGTTTTTTGAGGCGAATCGTCCCGGGCATCGGTTCTGTGTAGAATACCTACCTATACAGGGAGAGTATGGACATGTCGAAAATTTTGAGATTAGGTGATGGAGCTCTTGGAGCCAAAAAGGGTAGGCAATCTATGAGTTCAAATGTCCGGAGTCCACATTTTATAATCACAATTGTTGGAAATTGTCCATAAGGAGGTGTAGAATCTCCGACAGTAAAAGCTTCCATCTGTTGCGAAGAGACCAGTGGAGGTTCTCTTATCTCTGGGTGTTCGTTGCAAACACTCTGCTTATCGATCATTTTCCATTGATTCAAACTGCACATGAATCGATAAATCACAAAGTGCAACTGGAGTGCAATCGATGGCTAAAGTGCGAAACCACGTGTTTCCATTGTGGTTTTTCAAAATTATCGCTCCTATTTTATTTTTCCGAGGAGGAGCAAGCAAACTTTATAGCTTGAAGTCTATACAGAATGTTCTGCTAACCGAGAAAAAGGAATCAAGGAGGTTTAAAAGAAATTACGTTGAATGGTTTTTCAAAGAAAGAGTGAAAAGTCTGCAGAGTTGAAAACGGAGATACCTAAGTTTGCACTTTGGCCAGCGATAGGTATACCGCACGATTGCATTGTAATTTTTGACTGCTGAATAAAAAAAACGACCATGGCCTGTGGACAAACGTCTCAAAATCATTTGCAATTGGAACAATTTCTCAATATGAAGGAGAAAAATACAGAATTACTAGTATGCTGGCCAACATTTGCTCCATGTGACCAAAGTGTTTTTCATCGTGTAGGCAGAACATTCCAGCAAAACGCGACAACACTCGGAGCCAGAACAAGACGCGCTATATTTACAGAAGTAACTCCCGTTTTGAATCCAACATCCTTCAAAGCGAAAAACACAAATTTACGGAGAGTTTTCATTGGATTTACGCGGTTTAGCAGGAAAGGCGCTTCGTAATCCACCACAAAATGCAAAACCCACAGATTCTTACGGGGTTTATCGTGGACATACGTTGTTTTTACTGAGCAAGATAGAGCTGACTGACGATTACATAATATACCTCCATGTACGTACATACGCACTCGGCTGTCTTGGATGTCAACCGAGATGAGTTTTGAATAATTCCACGCTCGTTCGTCGGCGCTAGCGAAAACTTCGCGGCTGATTACTGTCGGGCGAGGCAAAAACAACTTATCTCCACTGAGACTCAAATGCGCACACGTGGTTTTTCGATGAGCACGGTGAAACGCATTCACGGTCTCTCGAGCCGGATAGAACCACATAACTCCAATTTAAACCCTTTGAATGTTACGAGGTTTTGCATCCTCGAGGAAGAGCGCATACATGGGCCCTCAGGCCGGATAAAACCGCGTAAGCTTAATGACAACTATTTGTAGGTGCGCGATTTTTGCTTGATTAGCATGTACCTTTGCTACGATTGAAAGGGCTGCATTGCGTTTCTTTCTTTCGTTCCATCGTGGGTCTCTGCGCCACGCAAAGGTGAATAATTATTCCCGTCAGTGGCGTGGCGTGCTTTGCGATATATCGATCGATACGCCATTTAAACCTATGAAAAAAGATCGATTATTAGGGTGTTCGCAGCGAACACCTTAGTAATCGATTCTTTACCATAGCTTCAAATGGCGAGATATCGATAATCGATCATTCACGTCCCGTAGACTCGGTGACTCGTTATCAAATCACGTTTCTTTATCATATGCTCGTGGGATGAGATTTGTTCCGTCCCTGCCACCAAAGAAGGGCCCTTCCTCTCGGCTGAGAATGGGACGGGGAGGGAAGGGCGTGTGTTCCTTTCTGCCATGGTAACCCTCTCTGTTCAGAAAGTATGTAAGATACGATGCCCGGATTTTGAGAGGCAAGTGAAGTTTATGTTAAAATGATGGACCAGCTATACTGGTTGACCTCAAGTTTTAAAAATTTCTAACTTTAAAACTTAAAAAAAAAATTCGAGGTCGGCCTAAATGAAATAAAATCGAATGTGGATTTGAGGAAGGCCATAATGCATACATTCCGCGTGCAGTAAATCTGTGTTTGATCAATCAGTCGAGGAATCAACACCAAAAATTAAGGCCTTAACAGTGCCTCGCTAAAAAAGACCATACCTATCTGCGTAACGTTACTAACGGAATTTGTCGTTTTCAAAACGAAGTAACGTAACCTCATTCCATGACTGCAAAATTGACTCGAGCAGTACAATGATTAAGTAAAAATGTACCTGTGCAACTTTTGTCAAAAATGGTTCTACTTTTTGCAAGAGATCAGATGAATAGGCAATCAGAGATATTTTCAATTACAAATATCAAAGTTTCTCTTGGCGAGAATGCAATTTTTGAGGAGAAATTTGGCAATATTGAAATGTAGTTACGTTCTTTCGTTAGAAAAACGACAAATTACATGGTATTCCTTCAATTAAAGAGTTCCAGAGTTTGCAAATGGTTTAAGAGTAGGGACATCGTCTGATGGGTGCAGCTCTTGGAAAGCACTAACGTTACAAAATAGCGTTGTCAGTTTGAAAACACTATTTTGTAAGTACATTAGTATACATGAGAGACAATTTGAACGAAGAGGCTTTTTACAGGACCTGTAAATCTACTGTTACCCTCACAAAATCCCCTGCTATTGCATATCATACTGTTTTAGCAGTGCGTGTTACCAGTGATTGTTGAGAAGCAGTTTCCAAAACCTCTCGAGAAACTGTTAGCATATAATATTTTTTTAATATAATTTCTGTGAAAAAGTTTCCAATAACGGGCTTCATACGATTACAACACTCTTTTCAACATTAGGCGTTCAATTTGTACAATAGATCTTTTGGAAGTATTGGATCTATTTTTTTTACATAAATTTTATGTCTAGTAAATTTTATTTTAAAAAAAATACCCACAAAGAATTTCCATTTGGGTAAATTTAATTTTTTTTAAAAAGAAAAAAAGACAGATTTTTCAGATTCACATGTTTTTTATTTATTTATTTATTTTTTTTTTTTTGAAAAAATTGTTGCTTTCATTTTTCGCCCGGATAGCCAAAAATAAAATTTAGAAGTACGAGGGGATAGTTTACAGAGCAAAATAATTTTTTTCTCTCTCTCTTAGTAGGTATTCGTACGCGTATTATCGGTAAATTTTATTTTTTATCGAGCCCTCTCTTATTTTTTAAAACAGTATCATTTTTTCAAGGTGTAAACTGTGGGGGAGAACACGAGAGATGCACGAAGCAAGGTGAGACAGACTCAATATGCAGAACTACTGGCTCCATCTACAGACCTTGGCTTGGATTACTACCCCGATACTTTTTAACACCCCCGGCTGAGAGCGCTACCAGTTTTCAGCGGAATGTTGATTCAAACTTTCTTCTCCAAATTATATTTTGTACATGAGTGGATATACTTCTCCGCGTAATGATTATGTAACTATGTCTGCACCAATTTTAAATACAACCAACATACAGGCATTTTAACGGTGAAAGGGTTTAATTTCTGCAGAATTCATCAATGCGGTCCATCAATTGCAAGAATTCAGTGACGCAGCAAGAATGGAAGAAAGAGATGAGAAATAATTTTCCATGGGGAGAGGGAGGTGCGTCTAAATTACAATATTTTAATATTAATCGACCAATAAAGGCCGATTTTAAACCATAAATAAAATAAATTACACGTAACACAAATATAGGCATTTTGTAGTCTGAAGAAAGAAACTGCAAATTGTTTCAATATTAAAGAAAATCTCAATCAATTTGTAGCTAGGCAACTTTTACAGCATTCCAACGCATCAGAAATGGTTTTACCTCGTAACTGCAAATTATTTCAACCTGTGCTACTTGGACACTTGGCCAAAAATTGAAATTTTTACAGACTTAAACTTAAAAAATTCGGCTCTCTTTCGGGCAAAAACATTTGCAAGTAAATGTAAAGCATTTTCCATTAGCAATGAGCAACTAGATAAGGTCTGAAACTCTGTGAGCGCTCTCAATGGATTGCGTTAAGCAGAAAGGAACCAAGTCACATCAGCTATTGCAACATTTAATTTTTTACCGACGGTTGTGCAGATTTTTGTGAAATTTGCAGTGAAATTTCTGCATAGCCCAAAGCGAATTCCTTCAAATTTTCAAAAGGATCCGCACAAACGTTCTCTTGTAAAAAAATTGAATTGACCGGTTAAATTTGGCAATAGCTGATGTGACTTGGTTCCTCTCTGCTAAACGCGGTCAAAATTTAACTGCTCCGTTGAAGATCACCGCAATGTATCAAAGTTCCTTCATTTTCTCAGGTATGCAGCACCACTATCGGAGAGTCAAAATAGTTGGAGTGACTTATTTCTCGTGTTATTAATGAGTTGTCACCGACGCTATTTAAGATATATCTAGAGCACGTTCTGAAGGAATGGAAAAGAAAGTGTGCCGGAATGGGCGTCCCTCTGAATGACCAAGAAACACTTTTCACGCTATGCTTTGCTGACGACCAGGTAGTCATAAGTCAAGATCACGATGACGCGGAGTATATGACCCGGAAGTTTTATTTTTTTTCCCACCCACCATGTGCGTCAAATGCGGCTCTCATCTTTTTTAAACACTTTTACAGAAGTTAAAAAAACTTCCGAAAGTGGTGGCTTCAGTTTTCAATACAAATTTTTAATTAAATCTCTCTTTATAAAATAACTAATTTATTATTTTTAGCCCCATGGGAGGGGAATTGGGGATCATGTTTTCTCCCCCCCCCCCCCCCCTGAATTCACCACAATAACTGTCTTGTGGCACTTTTTACAATCGGGTTATCATGCATGAGAACACTTCAATAGCCATTGGAAGGAAAATATTTAGAGATACGAATGCAGAATAAGTCAAGAATAACCCATAAAACACCCTTAAGTTTATTTAAATGCGTAAAAAGCATCACATTAGATGGCACGTAAGCAATTCAGAAACGACAAATACATTCAATGTTTTGATCTAATGAAAACTTAAATAAAATTTATTCTGAAAATTAAGAAAAGAAGGAAGAAAAACGGATCATATGGTTTTACAAAGAAAGTATTGCATTTAAGAAAGTTCCTCGTGTGCCAGGTAAGGAAGCTTAAAATGTTTCTAGAGCCGTAAAAAGCTACGTAAATAATTTTCGAAACACCGAAAAAATAGTGAAGTTGATTCGACATTCTGGATGTAAAAAAAGTGTGCGACAACTATAAAACGCTGAATTACCAGCTACAGCAGTTACTTTAGCAGTGCCAAGATGTAAAACCAACTGCTGTGGCGGGTAATTCAGCATTTTATAAGTTCTCGCGCACTTTATTCACGTCCAGAATGTTAAATCAAGTTCATTTTTTTTTTCGGTGAACTTTTAGTGGAGTATGGAGGATTTTTACGGCACTTGACCGTGCCGTTAGCTTAAAAAGTCGCTTGGTTAAATCGGCTGTGCTTGATCACGCTAAGATAGTTGGGCCACAGAGTAAAGAACTAAAAGAAAGGTAAATAATGAGTTCCTTTTTTCACAGGAAATACAGAAGCTGCTTCATCCCGTCGCACGGGGATTGATGTAGTAACGTACCGACCAAGTAGGCCAGCTTGTGGGCGTACTGGCATGGAGCGGGAACTCGAACAGTACCCTGGAAAATAAGATTCAAAGGGAAAAGAGATGATCATAGGTCCGCCGGATGTAGACAAATAAATAGACGTATTTAGTGTGACGTCACATCTTGATATAATTTCAATATCTCGAAAGTCGAAACGTGCCCCAACAAAGGAACATAGGGGTATCCGCGGGATAGGCAGGAGGGTGGGAGGATTCGCTTGATGGCCATGTATGATGTTCTAGCTTATTATACCATCGTCTTGGTACATAGATATTTATTAGGACCTTCACCGTCGAAGTATCTTCATCGCATGTTTCAAATTTCCGCACCTATTTAATTTTTCCGGGGAAAAATAAGCCAACTCTGAATCGCTTGAAATTTATACAGAACTAGGTGGTATGCCCCCTGGTTGTGACGCGGCCGAATCCCCAGAGGTCGCTTCGCGCTCTCTTAGGCCCGCTTCGACAAAAGAACGATCAAAAAAAGGTGAAAAGATTTTCATATTCTACTCTCATTTGTCCAATCTCCCTACGGCCGGCCGGAAGCAATTGGACCAATAAGAATCGTATGAAAAAAATCGTCATTTATTTCAAACTTCACTCCAGAACTAATACGAAACGATACGCACGGAGCGGAGCGTTTCGTCACTTTTGGATGTATAGTCTGTAGCAATGGAGCGTACCTGCGATTCACTTACCTTACCCTACTGACAGACCCAGGTTCAACATTTCCCGCTTCGTTCAATTTTCCGCTAAATTTGAAATTCCCGCCATTTTTCAGTGGCAGGAATTTCAAATTTTGCCCCCTTTTCTGACAAGTTTGTGAGTTCCCCGATTGAGCACAGGGGAGAATTTCTTTAGCCGCCGCCCGCGGCGCACTATGGTCCAAAACTCAAGAATAGGAAGAAATAAGTCGGATATTGACTGAAAGATAACGAAAGCTTCGTAACTGATGTTCTTTAGTCGCTAATTTCGAATTTGATGCCTAACTGCCTACATTTTAACACCCTGACCCATAAATTGTGGGCAAGTTTATGGCACGCTATGGCGAGGCGTGCTGCCAGCTCGAAACACGCACTCGCACAGACGCCTACAAACCTAAGGGGATACTTTAAGCATTGCGCAATGCGTGAAGTATCCCCTTAGGTTTGTAGGCGTTAGTGCGCGTTAGCGCAGCACGCCGCCGCGGTTCTCCCGGCGGGCGGGTGGTGAACGATTTCTTGCGGGAAGAGCTCCCTGGCGGAGAAATTAGTATATAATGTAAATTTTTTTTTTTTAAATTTATTTTTTTTTTTAATTTTTGATTTTTAAAATCACCCTGCTAATCTACCGTGCTAAGGAATGTTACCAAATTGCCTCTCAGGAAATATTTCTTTTTGAGGAATTTAATGGATACTTTTCCAAGAAATATTCAGACACTTTAGACGAAATTATAAACGAGACCCTCCGAAATTTTTTTACACATTTTCCAGAAAATTCGTGATTTATCAAGGGAGATTTGGCAACGCCTGAAGGCTCATGCGGCGTTTTTCCTTAGCACGGCATCATTGTACGAGCAATATGTGTTCCAAAAGTTACCGGACTGATGCCGCCCTGGCCTTAAAAGTGGTCCGATCAAGCTCAACTGGAGCTCATTCAAAAGCGTATACTGTCGAAATAACAATGATTTTTAGTTTTTTCAAAAATATGCATTAGTTTTTATACAGCATTTTTACGGCGGCATGTTTCACCCGATCGGCGATTTTATGTCGGAGGACATAATCATCGAGGTTCATACCTGAGCCTGAGGTGGTTGATAAGACAAGTGCGTGCAATGAGGACGCTGATAAGAATCAAATCTGTATGTGGCATACTTACACAAGATAACGCACCAAATTTTAGCTGATTAGGGCCATTTCAAACCCCAAATGGACGTATTTCTACCAAACGGAACTATGTTCATTGTGACGTGAGCCCTGTAATGCATATATTCTTATGGGTCTCAGGGCTCATGTTTTAATGCACATAGTTCCGTTTGATAGAAATACGTCAAAATCATGCAGGTGTCCGACCTCATTTCAATTTTCATCGGCGACTAAGTCAGTTCAGTGTGTTTCAGTCTGCCATGCTATGGAAGGACGCCGCGTGAGCCTTCAAGCGTTTCCAAATTTTTTTCGATTAAGCACAACTTTTCGAGAATACTTATGATTATTTTTCTTCCAAATTTTCAGATTATTTTGCTCGCAATTTCACTTGAAGTTCCTGAAGATTTCAAGGAAAAATACTCACAAATCTCCTAAAAAATACACATTTTATCAGAAGAAATTCGGCAACTCTCGAATGTTCATACGGCGTTTCTCCCTAGCACGGCAGTTGTTCGTGCAATTGTTATAGAAGATGCTCGCACTACCATTGTATAAATTGGAGAAATTTGTAGTACACTGAAAAAAAATTCTCGGCGTTTTTACCAAGGTCCGTTGGTACCTTCACCATCTCACTTTTTTACCAATTATTGGTAATTTTACCAAGACAGACTGGTAAGCTTACCTAGAAACCGGTATTTTTACTGTTTTTTTTAGGTAAGAATACCACTTTTATTGGTAATCAATTCCCGGTAACTTTGCCATTTTATCTCGGTAATTCTACCATAGTCGATAAAAAATATTGGCGTTTTCACCAAGGTCCAGTAAAATTACCGAGAAAGTTCAACAATTTTACCGAGATATGTCGGTAAAATTACCAATTCCATAAATGGTAATTTTGCCGAGAAAAAACTGGGATCAAATAGAACCCTGAATTCTTGGTAATTTTACCCTTTTCTTAGTAAATACACCGAGATTTTTTTTTCAGTGTAAAAATGGATTCGTCACCTGGATCAATCCATCAGTTTGTAGAGTAACACCGAGTGGGTAAAATATGCCGCCGTAGAATTGACGCTGTATGTGCAAAAACTGATAAGTATTTTTTAAAAAGAACTAAAAACCACTGTGCTTGTGAGAGTATAAGTTTTTAAATAAGTCCCAGTTGAGCTTAATTGGACCATTTTTAAGGTCAGGGTGGCATCAGTCCGGTAACTTTTTGAACGCACCTCGTATTTCCTCCTCATCTGTGTACGGAGAATTTGACTTTATGTAGAGTGAAATCTCGCGATAACGCAGTCAATTCTCTTCGTTTTCCGGTCTCGACTCTTAGAGCTTTTTCAGCTGGGGGTTCGTTCCAGAAAAACCCACTGGCATCACCCTGGTAAAAATTGGCGATGGGAGCTACGTTCCAAAATACCATAGGAGCTCTTATAGCCGACTGAAGAGGGCGATAGAAAATCATATAGCTGGCTGTAGAAAGTGGAAAAAATCATACGACCGGGCTAGGTACACGAAGCGATAGAAAATTATACGGCCGGGCTATAGTTCCTATCGCCGGGCTTTACACTTTATCGCCTGGCTGTTGCTTTTTCGCCATCGGCTGTAAAAGGCTATAAGAAATTGTGTAGAAATTCTTGTGCTTTGTAAATCCTTAAGTTTGTACGGAATCGCCTCAATATTTACAAAACGCACATTATATTTTCCTTTACTGCATATTTTTTTTCATCAATTAAAATGAGAATAATCCATACAGAGTGTGCAAACATTTAAAAAACGTGCATTTTCGTTTTTTTAAAAAACGCTGACTCCGCGAGATTAAATATTAGAGCCTAACACAAAGCGGAGCGGCGGCGCACTGGCGCCTACAAACCTAACAGGGATACTTCACGCATTGCGCAATGCGTGAAGTATCCCTGTTAGGTTTGTAGGCGCCAATGCGCGTTCAGCGCTGACTGCCCGCCTGCCGCGCCGCAGCGTACCGCGGCACGGCGCTTGAAGCAACTATCTCACACCAGAGATATTGCACAGTATCATACGGAATTGAAGGCGCTCCAACATTTTAGGAATGGCAGGCATCCTTCAAAAGTACGGAGCTTTCCTCGCAAATTAAATCAAGATACTGCGGCCCAAAAAGAGAGCGGCAGTCCAAAAACTCACCAAGTCCTAGCATCCGTAATTAGTAACGTTTAGCATACACTTCTTCGCCTGGCTGTTGCTTACTCGCCATCGGCTATAAAAGGCTATAAGAAATTGTGTTGCCGGCTATAGAAGCTATTGGAAATCTTACAGCCGGCTGTAGGTCTATGGTATTTTGGAACACAAATTCTACTGCCAATTTTTACCAGGGCATCGTATTTCTCGCTACCTTTGGCCCGTTGAAGAAAATCCGTGTTTATGGATTTACTTTGAGTTAGCTTTATTTCGGTCAGATCAACCGAAGAAACATTATTGATCGACGAAATTTTTGGTTAAATCGACCAAAACTGTAAGTTAGTCTGAGGCATGGGAATAAAGAAAGTGTTCTGCTGAACGAATGTACTCTTGTTGCACTCGATGAGCAATTATCTCAGGCTCTCCCATAAAAGCACATATCTTCTTGGGAAAACCAATGGTATGTATATGTTATTTCTAAATTGGGCCAGAAATAGTGGTTCCTTATTGCAAAATGTGACCCATTCAACGCTGTGATCACGGTTTGATCCTGGTGACTCGCGTCCAATTGTTAACGCGGTTGAAAATTCTCAACCCAAGAATCTGGCCAATGCAACTCAAAGAAATAGCGACCAAACACTATTTAAAATACTTTTAGTTCTACTTCCCTTATTAACACATTATGTCGGTTGTTTTATCTTACTGTGTGACTTGAGAGAAAGGACCCAAATCGCTAATCCTTAGTGCATGTAAGAGCTCTATTTGAAGAACGGGATTGTAAAGATAATATTGATGATCATGCTGAATTGAAAGCAAAATATTGGGCCACGGTGGAAAAAATACTCACGCTCCAATTGTAATACAGGTGGGTGAGAGCGTAGGTTAATCGCTGAAGGTGGTCCGGCGCGAAGTCACACTCGTCGTGAATGACGTTGTAAGAAGTAGGACTCACAGTTCCTTGTCTGACTGTTTGCGAAACCAAAAAGAAATCGTACCTGTAAATAAAATTCAACATTGAATGATGAATAAAGGCATTTAAACGTTACCACATTTCTCCTACTAATTTTTTTTGTTTTGTTTTGACTACAAAATTGTTAAATCAGCAATTTCTTATTTTCCATGAGTGATAAGCGAGGGAGAAGTGGGTAAAAAATAATAAAAAGAAGGGGAAAAAGGGACAAAAAGGGGGAATAATGAAACAAAATAAAATCAAACAAAGAGGCTCCACCCGACACAATGGCCAAGTGCCATTAGTGGGTGTTTTATTTTCGTTTTTCGTTTTTTTGTTTATTACCTATTTGTCTGTTGTTATATATCGTACACTAAAACGAGAATAAATTCATTCATTCATTCATTTGGACGTACTTCTGTCAAACGGAACGAAGCGCCAAATTGAAATCCTTTTGAGGAATTTAGAATGCCGGATAGCACGTTCTGTCAAACGGAACTAAGCGCCATGGAAAAGTATCGCGGGTATAGGACGGAATGAACCCGACACCTGATTCCGCCGCCAATCCAAGCCCCCCTCTACCTTCCTCCTCCGATGGCGCTTAGTTCCGTTTGACAGAAATACGTCCATTTATACCTATCACACATTTTTTTAACATGAAAATTGGTAAAGCAACGTTGAATTTTCTCCGTGGGTTTTTCTCTGTTGCACGGAGAAAAAAACTTCGTGCGTGGGACCCGAAGTTTAGGTCATATGGATCTCTGAAGTTTTCGGATTGAGCATCTGAACACTTTAGGTCTAGCTGTCGAGGTTCGGATCACACATCTGAAACTTCAGTTCTTACATCTGAAGTACTTCGGTTTTCACATCCGAAAAACTTCGGTTCTCACATCCGAAAAACTTCGGTTCTCACATCCGAAAAACTTCGGTTCTCACATCTGAAGTACTTCAGATGTAAGAACTGAGGTTTCAGATGTGTGATCCAAACCTCAGCAGCTGGACCTAAAGTGTTCAGATGCTCAATCCGAAAACTTCAGAGATCCATATGACCTAAACTTCGGGTCCCACGCACGAAGTTTTTTTCTCCGTGTGCGAAGGACTTACTTGTGAGGGAAGGTTATGACGTCATCGACGACGGTGCCGGGCTCGGGGTTCCTGCCCCTGGCGGTGAAGATCCGGGTGTTGATCCTCTTGGTGACGACGACGACGACGAGCTTGGGGACCTGGGTGCCGGCGTAGATCTGCGGGAGGACGTGCTTGACGGCAGCGATCTCGGTCTCCTTGACGTAGGGGATCTGCCCCTCGCCGACGCCGTCGCGGTAGATGACGATCCGCTCGGGGAGGGCGTTGTTGGCCTGCTTGTACTGCCGCAGGGCCGCCGCCATCTGGAGAGAGAAGTCCCGCGAGAGCTCGCCCCCGTCCTTGTGCGCCGAGATGGCGCTGAAGTAGCGCGAGTAGGAGTTGTTGAGCGAGGCCACCAGGGCCCCGAACGAGCGCTCCTTCTGGTTCGTGTCGTGGTTCACGTCGAAACCCACCACCATCAGATGCTGGAACCCGGTCGCAGGCGATAAATAGACATGCAACATAGGCGTATTTCTACCAAACAGATTTATGTGGAGCAGTGTTCGAAACTCACAGGCGCCAACGCGCGCCAAATGCGCCTAAGAAATCGGTCATGGCGCCTACAAAGTGAAGGCTCTGCGCCAACGTAGAGTCCCTTTATACTGAGAGTCAAGACAACACCCCCTCATGGAGTCACAAACGGGAATCAATACACAAATTGACAGTTTTTCGTAATCTTTGGTCGGTTCATTCTCAAATTCCTCTCTCCGTTCCTTCTCTCATTCCGTTTGTTCCTTGCCGAACCCGTAATTCCCTGGTCCATTCCATATTATAATCTTTGCAATCGGTTAAAATGTAACCTTTATTCCCGTTTGTGACACTGTGGAGGCCTAAAATACGGGAACCAATTAGAAATGGATTCACATTGTCTTGACTCTCAGTATAAAGGGACTCTAGAATCCGGTCCTAGGCAATAAATAGACATCAATAGACATACAAGATGGACGTACTTCTATCAAACAGATTTATGTGGAGGCAGTGTTCGAAACTTACAGGCGCCAAATGCGCCTAAGAAATCGGTCATGGCGCCTAAAAGATTAAGCCTCTGCGCCAACGTGGCCCCTAAGATATTAAGGCTCTGCGCCAACGTGGGTCCTAAAAAGTGTCCCCCTCCCTCCTAAAGGTGTTTTTAAAGTTTTCAAGAAATTCTGCCTCCTTGGGTCCTATAATAGTTGAGCCGCGATGGAGCAAAAGGGCACAAGTGGAGAAAATCCCACTGCTATCCCCCTGAAAGATTGATTTCCATATCTAGAACCACGCGCTTAAAGCAGCCGAATATGCGATTCACCGGTCTTTGCTCAACGGTTGAAATTTGTGACCTCTTTGGCAAATCAGACCCTGTTCATGAGGTGTCATTTTGCGACAGTTCCACCGTTAAAATCGCCATTCATGAGAAACAGCTCTGAAAAATAACTTGAAATAAAGCATTGCATCCCTTTTACTGAAAAGGCTCCTGGCAACTGATGAACGCTCTCAGTTTACCATAGAGTACCTGTATAGGGAGAGTACCGACAGATCGGTCCATGGAGGGCTTGGGGCCCAAAAGTGCAGTCACCCTTCTAACCAACTTCTAACGCACAAAATTTCACTGCCGGTCTGCAGATTCCAATTCTAACCAAGGTGGCCAAGAATGTACAGAAATGAGCGTTCTTCCGCGAAATTGAGTAAATTTATGCAAAAACTGAGTCAAACACGTGCTTAATAAAGGACGGTTCGTAACAATAGTATCAGTAAATCGCTCTGGATAATTGAAATTTATAGGTTGGCTGCCTTTTTGGGCCCTAACTTTATTCGCGGAGGCATCGGTGAAGGCCTGATGGACTTTCGGAGTTTCAGATCTGTCGATACTCTCCCTATACAGGTACTCTAGTTTACCAGCTTTATTTTTGAGACAGTTACTCACCTTCAGAGGGACTGGCACAGCCCAAGGAGCACCACCCATTTTGCAATTCATCTGAATCGCTACTTTTGTGGCAATACTCAGCGCGCCTTTGTTTTGGGTAGTTCTGTCCAATATGACCTGGTTCGCCACTGAAAATATATGAAAGAGCGTGAAAAATTTAAAATCTGCGCTTGCAGGCAAGACGTGGACCTAGAGTACCTATATTGAGAGAGTATGGCCACTGGGGCCCCCTGGAGAGGCTTAGGACCCAAAAATGGCGGTGCTTTGTTTTGGTTCTTGTGGATGGGAGGAGGGTCATTGCCAACTTTTGACGGTTATCACCAACCGCACTTGCTACCAACCTTACTACATCTAAGATAGTTTTTCTCAAAAATTGCACACGATAAGCCTTAAAAATATGTAAAGATGTAGCAATAGTGCATTTGAGTAAATTTCTCGTTACGATAAGCAAAGAAAACTACATTTTGAGTCATTTTACATTACATTAATTTATGGCGTCCGCCATTTTTGGGTCCTAAGGGCTCCATTCAGCTTAAGATGGCTGAGCCAATCAGAGGTGATAACCCCAGTGGCCATACTCTCTCAATATAGGTGCTCTACGTGGACCCAGGATTACAATGGGTGGCGATTTTGAAGGTTGACAACAGTCTTGCTCCTCCATTAACATCATTTAAAAATATCGATTTTAGACGACAGAGCACAGGAGAGAATTTCATGAGCCGCGCATGGCGCACGACCCGTCTTTCATTATTACACTTCATCTAGCGGTAAGAGTTCACTAATTACGCCACATGACCAATGTGTAATTTTAAAAGTCGAAAATTTGAAAAAAAAATTACACGATATACGAGTTTCTCCGCCAGGGAGCTCTCCCCGCAAGAAATCGTTCACCACCCGCCCGCCGGGAAAACCGTGGCGTGCTGCCAGCGCGGAACGCGCACTAACGCCTACAAACCTAACGGGATACTTCACGCATTGCGCAATGCTTGAAGTATCCCCTTAGGTTTGTAGGCGTCAGTGCGTGTTTCGAGCTGGCAGCACGCCGCGCCGTAGCGTGCCATACACTTGCCCACAATTTATAGGTCAGGGTGTTAAAATGTAGGCAATTAGACATCAAATTCGAAATTAGCGACTCAAAAAACATTAGTTACGAAACTTTTGTGATATTTTAGTTAATATCCGACTTATTTCTTCCTATTCTTGAGTTTTGGACCATAGTGCGCCGCAAGTGGGCGGCGCGGCGGCTCATGAAATTCTCCCCTGTGCTCGACTGGATTAATAATTAATTAAAATAATAATTAATTTAAGTGGAGGATAACAGCGTTGCCAACTTTTGAAGCACAACTGATTACAATCATATTAAGGGTTATTAGTTTTTTATGGTGAAGAAAAAATTATTTCTCTTCTTGACTCAATTTTGTTATTTTGTAGATATTTTATCCTAAGCCTTTTAGACTCGAATTCAGTGCTCAATAAATTAGAGAGCCGCACAATGAAATTTATCTGATGAGTAATGAACTCAATGTAAGAAAATAAACCTTTGCGTTGGCGGGAAAATCCTGTTACAAAGCAGATCGGAAGCAAGACAAAGAATAACTCCGTGTAAAATTGGCTGAATCAACGCTCTCGTAGAATACTCAAATAGATAGACTTTTTTCACAAATGCGTTTAATTATTATCAATCACATGCGGGTGTGAGGTATGGCCGTTGGAACAGAGCAGCATATTCGGGGGGTTTGAAAGATGACAGAGATGGACTTGTGGCGTGGATCCACTGGTGTTCCCAGAAGGGCTCTCATCCGGCATCCCTGGTAAAAAAAGCGCTGTAAAGTAACCTGTAAGTTTGGTTAGTAAATAATGAAGTTTATAGGATCCCATTTTTCTCACCTGCGCGGTCTACGTAGCATTTCTTCTTTATTGCCGCGTAGCGATCCGCCTTGTTATTCGGTAGGAAACACATGAGCAGCTCTGGTAATCCTTGGGACAGGATCCGATCAATCTCGGTCACATAGTCGCTTATTCTATCTCCTTGAATAGTCACTCTAAAAAATAATTCAATAAGAAGATCAGTTACCTGAATGGACCACCAAGACAAGGTGCGAATTCACGCATTCAGATATGTCATCGTTTCCCGGACGAGAAAACGAGACTCTGTTTCAAGGTCGCCAAATTAACCCAAAAAATACTATATTTTAAGAAGAATGTACCCGAGCAATTTCGGTTGAAATTTTTCCAATTTTTGCATGAGATCCGAAGAAAAATCAATGAAATTTTCAAATATAAGTTCCCGGAGCTCTATAGGTTAAAATGCAAATTGCTTTGGGTAAATTTGGCAACATTGAAATGGAGTTACGTTCTTTCGTGAGAGAAACGACGATGTGCTTTCACTTCAAAATTTCGGTGATCCAGGATTGCGCGAAAGGTCTAAGAAATATGTGAGGATGATTGCGCGAACAGAAACCTTAACATCTGCTGAAAGAATGCGCGAATTTAAAATGAAGTTAATTTAAGGTAGAAGTTTGGCAAAACAGGAAACAGTTGGGAAATAAACGCATTTTTATGTTAAGGTTAGTTTAGGTTAGTTTGTTGACAAGTCATCGGTGTTTTACTTTCTGATGAAAAACTAAGTGAAAAGATTGAATATGCGGTCGTGAGAATGAAGAACTTTCCTAACTTTTCTTGGGGAAAACATTTAATATGGAGAAACAAGGCAACGTTGGAACACATACGGCGTCGGAACACAACATAGGTCTTTTAAGCCCTATTATTCGATGTCGCGATTATTCTAACGCAAGTGAGTTCGAAAAATCGCGCCAAACACAGTTCGACCGGCATTCAACGTAAATTAGCGCCTGCAAGACTGTAGGAATACTTCACGCATTGCGCCAAACGCAGTGCAGGCGGTTAGTTGGCGTGAAACGCACATCGCCTACGAGACTGCAGGAAACTAGGAATGCTGTTTGGACTGTGTGTCATGATTAATGACTTTCTGTTCTAGTGTTTACCATAATTAAAGGGGAAATATGTATCCTCATTGTAACGATTCAGAAACTCGGATTATATTTAATTTTTTCTTTGGTTACATTAAAAGAAAATAGTATGAACGAAAATTTCTGCGGCCTGCAAAAATTTGATGGTAGGTGATGGAGCTGTGGGGCACATCCCTCATCTGATTTCCACACAACCGTGCCTATATCATGCTTATTTGAATCAACACGCTGTTTTAATTAATTTTACTCATCATCAATCTAGATAACTCTCGACCGCCATCTTGGTCATCGTTTTGATCGGAATTTGACGGAAATTTGAGCGTCTAACCAGGCCATTAGCACAGCAGCGGGGCGATTATTGAAACTGATAGACAAAGCGATAGACAAAGATGACATAGGGAGTATGGAGCGATCCTATTGGTTGACATAGTTGGTTCTCATAGACTAAGGGGGAAAATGATAGACTAACTGTCGGGTCTCTCGTGGGTTGCCGTTAGTTAGTCTATTACCTACCTCCTTTGTCCATTGCAACCACCCGTTTCCACCAATAGGATCCCTCCAAATCTCTTTTGTCGTTTTTGTCTATAGCTTTGTCTATCAGTTTCAATAATCGGCCCGCTGTATGGATTTGGAAAGAAACTTACAGTCTAGGAGGCGCGAACTTCATTTTCATGCCGGCGGCAGCTTTAACGACGAGGCCGACAAAGGTCTGGGCATTTTGAGAGATCCTATCCGGGACGAGAACGACCCAATTGCGGAGATCTCTGGAGCAATACTGAGCGTTGGAGCGGAGTTCTTTGGTCCAGTCCACGTGCTCCCCGCTGGGGTAGGTCAGTTTGTTGCCCGCCTCGATCTTGAACGCCGGTAGGATGCGACCCTCGAATTGAACCAGCTTGCTGTCCAGCGATAGATTCCATTGTTTCAAATCCGCTACCACCTACCATCATACAATCCCGAAACTTTTACAGGAGAAACAACAGCGGAAAATTATATTCAGAGGATTGGTGAAATTCGAAAGACGCATAATGGACCACTAGACAATGTACGAATTTAAGCATTCTGATACATGTTTCTTTTTTTAAAATTTTACATAAGACACGATGCGCACAACGAAAATTACCGAAATCAACCCTTAACGAAGATATTTAATGATTCTTGGTGCGTGAATTGAAACCACCCGCTCATTAAAACTCAATGCTCTACGTGATTCACATCGCGCGCTAAACGTTATCATGCACGTCTCTGCGATGAAAAAATCTGGTAACCTCAATCTTGACGCTTTGGCTCGGCTATAGCAAATTACTTATATTTTGAAAAACACATGGTGGGAAATGAACATTGCTCGATCGAGAAGCTTGCTGAAATCGTTGTAATGCGCGATTTGACTCACGTAGAGCTTTGAGTTTCTTGTGAGCGGGCAGTTCAAATTCCTCGTAACCAATGTGAAATAAAAACGTTAATGTCTTCGTTGGGAGCTAGCTTCAGTAATTTTCGTTGTGTAAATCGTTTTCTGCGTGAAATTCGGGTTAAGGAACATGTATCAGATTGCTTAAATTCATACCTTGTCTAGTGGTCCATTTCAACAATTTTATGGTCAAACTATGGAGTACTTTCATGCAGAGATGGAAGATTTTATGAAATTTATTCGCATGAAATTTCACGAAATTTTTTGAAGCTGTTTGGGAAGCATTCAGAAGGCCAAGAAATGCCTAGAAATAGTGATTCTAAATTTTGAAATTTTTCATCCCAAGTCCGAAACACTCACACATTGCGAACGTTTTTGTTTCGTACGCACATTGATGAAGATACTGATGATGTTTTCTCACCTGAGGAACAGATCGGAATCGCTCGTTGAGTTTCATGAGCCGGTCGATTCTCTCGCCCGGGCCCACTCGTGTGATTTCAGCGACGGCTTTCATCAGCTGAATGTTGGAGACCATCTCATCGGTGAGACCAGTCATCAGGCAAAGTTCTGGCACCAGGTAGACGAAGTCCCTCTGCCCAGCTCGGATTTCCCGTGCTTTGCTCTTGGAGACTAATAGAGGTTGCTTCAGATCCTTGATTATCACATTGTATTTCTGAAACGAGAAAAGATGACGTGTGAGCGCAGAATAAAATAGGCCACTAGACGATGTATGAATTATAGCTCCGCAAACGAGGAACTTGGAAGACAAGGCGCATAAGTGTTGTTTTTGCTATTTCAAGAAATGCGAGTTTGAAGTTTCGAAATTGCATGGATCCTTATGGCGGAAAGAGGGTTCAAACTGACTTATTCATGCTTAAAAATTGAAATTTGGGTGCGAATTTTTCACAGAATATGCATTAATACTATAGTTTTACTTAAAATCATTGAATCCGTCTTATGGTCAGAGATATTTAGAGATATAAGAGGGTTTGGCACTTTGGCTATTGATATGTTGCTTATAAAAGGCATCAGGGCGCTGATGAGCCCGGGTCCGGATACATAAACACTGATCAGCCAAGGATTTATGCAAATCACAAATACTAGGAAGATTTTAAACCCACGATACTTATTGGATATACACTTTAAATCAAGATACTCACATTCTTGTAATAATCCACGTATTTGACTTTCCCTCCTTCCTTTGTGTCAAACTCGCTAAGCGGGTTCATTGAGAAATCTACGTCATCGACGCGGTAATTCCTATCATTGTACCTGGTCATAACCGAAATGCCAATGATCGCTTTTTTGAACGCATCCTGGAACTAATTATAACAACGAGAAAGTCACTTAAAATGTCTTATATTCGTTTATTTTAAAATAGTTAGACGCATATGAACAAAATATCCTATCTGCATCAAGAGTTATGTATAAGAAAAAAAATGCGATTGTTTGAAGCTGCTTAATACATATCATGACTGCGTATCAGTGAGATAGGAAAACGAGAAGAGATCCGATGTTACAGGAAAGAGCACCAACAAAAACCCCTCAAGACTCTGTTGAATGGTGGAGGCAGTCAGATGCGTTTACCTCTCCTGCAGATAGACTGCCTTTTCGGCACTGCGAGCTGGCGGCCAGCGCAAAACGCGCATTGGCGCCTACAAACCCAAGTGGATACTTCAAACATTGCGCAATGCTTGAAGTATCCCCATAGGTTTGTAGGCGCCAGTGAGCCTCTCGCGCTAGTTGCACGCCGCGCGCCGCTCCGCTCTGTTTGGCTGTAATATTTAAACTCGCAGTCAGTGCTTTTCAACTCATGATTTTTCAATGTTTGCACATTCTACATAGAAATTTAATAGAAATAGAAGAAATCTAGAATCTACAAAGAAATCTACTCTCATTTAAATTGATGGAAAAAAATATGTGCCAAAAGAGAATATCGACGGTGTAAGTCGGCAATCACATAACTCGGTTTGCGACGTCGCAGACTTCCTGTCATACGTTATTTTTTAAACGGAAAACTACTCAACGGCTATTCTTTAAAACTGCCGAGATCTCTGTGCGAAGAAAACTCTGCAAAAACTTCAAGGAATGATGTTAATTTGTTCTCCTTTAAAAAAATAACATGGAGGCGGAGATTTTCAGACACCGCAAACGAGTTATGTGATTGCCGACTTGCACCGTCGATATGTGACGTAGCAAGGCAGAATGTGCCTTAACTACAGTGATGCAAAAAAAGGTAAGGTAGTTATACCATGGATTAAGAGGGTTAATTCTGCTGTATTCAGCGCGAAGAGCACCATTTTAAGGTGAATCCAGGCTTAGAACTTCGCGATTTGGCCACCACGTCGCGCTGCTCAGAATAGCCGCATATATTTGCCAAAATAATAAAAACCGTAATACTTATTCAAGATTGGAGATCCAGGGGATATGGCAACATACTTGAGGAACACTCAGTAAAAAAATCTTCTCAAAATTCCCAAAAATAAAGTCTTAACTACGGCGGAATGTAATTCCCATTGCGGCAATGGGAGAGAGAGAGACAGAACATGAGGGATTCCGTTGCGCGCTCGGCCGCCGCCTCTGAGCTGAAAGTTTCAGCCGTACTTTCTCTGCGCTTGTAATTCTAATTGCCAATATTTTTGGCTCAAAAAATCAAGCAAAAATTAATCTATATCCTCTGGATCTGCTTTTTGTAATTCGAGGAATATTATTTCAGTAATCGTCGAAGGAAAGTGAAATTCTCAGTGCGACTGGTGGCGCTATCTCTAATCTTGAATCATCCCTAATCGAACCCTGGATTCACCTTAAAATAGCTCATTAAAAAGGAGTTCTTACGTTTCCACCGCTGGTTCCGCGGCACGATCGTGCCAACTCCAGCGCGGTGTCTTGTCGCATTACTTTCGTGGTGATTTCTGCGCACATCAATATATCCTCCTCGTGTTGACGGATGCTCGTTATGTATCCGGGCCATAAAGATAAATTGAAACGAGGAATATCACTCTGGAATAAGAGGAAAACAATTCACATTTAGGTACTTGTAAACCTGGTTCAATTTTTCACGAAGAATGATGAAATTTAGAATAAGAAGACGACATTTCATAGATGAGAAACAAGCACAGGGCCGGATTTACCTATTTGCCGCCCATGGGCCGCCTATATTTTTCCGCCCCCTTCTCATTCATTTTGAAACATCATAAGATCGTATTACGACAGTGGTTCGATGTATCGTTTGGTTCAAAACAATAGAGCATTCTCTCAAACAAAAATTTTAGGATTTAATTTGGAAAGGCTGAAAATGATAAAATTCCCAACAATTTCACTTTTCATTGCCACTTGGTACTGGAGAGAATAAAAATTCGATCACATATGACCCGTTACCTTGGATTTCTAAATTGGCTTTTGAGGCTGTGGTTACATATTGAACCAATCGATATCAATATAATCTCACCTGTGTGATCTGTCGAATACGATTTATAAAAACCGTTTAGTGAACATGCCGGTGGGGAAGGGGTGTATGAGACGCGTTTACTCATGCTGTCTTGTAGGCGCCATGCGTTTCACGCCGACCGCTGCTGACCACACTGTTTGGCGCAATGCGTGAAGTATTCATGCAGTCTTGTAGGCGCTATGCGTTTCAGGCCGACCGCTGCTGACCGCAGTGCGTTTGACGCAATGCGTGAAGTGTTCATGCAGTCTTGCAGGCGCTATGCGTTTCATGCCGACCGCCGCACCGCTCCGTTCCAGGTCAAATTGCGGGTTTGGTTTCTCTCTGAACTCGACTAATTCAAGGTTTTGTCTCTTGTATCACCGAAGGACGACAAAATTACAAATTACTATACTTTCACTCTCAGGCAATGAGAGATTTTGTCGCCTTTTCTCGTTCGTAATTTATTTTCTGGATCCGATTTTTTTCTCTCTTTTTTTGATACCTACATTCAAAAAGATTGCAAAATTTGACGTCATGGGCCGCGGCCCATATGGCCACCCCCTTAATCCGGCCCTGAACAAGCAGGAAAATCCAACACGAGGTGTTGGATAAGCGCGGCTTTTTTGTGGAGAACTAGTCATTTTAATTTTTTGAAATTCCCTTGATTTTTCCTAAGTATTAGTAGAATATTCTGTATAAATTTCAAGCTATGAGCTGCCCGTTCCCCTTCGAAAAAAATGAAAAAGGAGTGGAGATTTTGAAATATCTCAATGGGGATCCGTGGTTTCGTACTTTTGCCATCGATATACCAGCGCATCCGTCTCTGTTACTCTCGTTGATGTTCTCACTTATGCAAGTCGGTTTTATCTCATTTCTTACTTTCATATCAGTTTGAAGAGAATGAAATTCCCTGATTATCACTTTGATATACCTAGTCGATTATGTCTGTGAGTTATATATTGAATTTCATAAAGTTTGACGGTTATTGAAGAAATGTTGACACAATTTAGCATATTGAAACTGCCCCGCTGATTTTTTTCCACGACGTTTAACTATCTAGGTAGAGATGAAATGTGGCTTTTAAATTAGGTAGAGATTCTCAGTGCTTCAAAAATTAACAATTATGTCTGTTGTCCTGTGGTACGTGTAGTGGAAGCCAGGTTAAAATTAATGTGACAATAAGCGTCATTTGATTTTTTCTTGACGTTTAGCATCAATATTGAAATTTTCTTTGAAACGATTTTCTGTCAAAGTACGGCGTCATTTTCAATTGGCAAGCAAAATTTAAGGTATATCTAACACCAGCTCGCACCTGATGTGACAAAATATTATTACTTTCCTTCAAGGATTTTACCTCGGATCGCTTTACCCTAAATGGGCACTGAAACAAAAAGTATGGTAACATCTACTATAAGCCTACTTGCTTTTTTACACAGTGATACCATTTAGTGAAAATAACCAGAATTATAGTAGTATTCACCAGAATTTGGTTTTTATATATATGAGTCGCTTTTACAGCGCTCTTTGGCGCTTTACGACGCCTAATCGCCACAAAGCTCGATCTTCCCACATGTCATCAGGGAGTTGACAATCTCTTATCTCATTTAACACCCCCTGTCGCCAACCTCTCACTGGGCCCTACGTCTCCTCCCAGGAGGAACCCAATCAACCATCTTTTTTGGCAGCCTCTCTTCCGTCATCCTATTGACATGACCGTACCAGACAAGTTGTTTGGTCATGATGTCGAACACGATGTCATTTTCGACTTCCATTATCTGACGTACTCTATCATTACGAGCCCGATCTCTCCTAGAAATTCCTGCCGACCTCCTCCAGAAATCCATCTCCGTTGCTCTTAGAATATCCTGTGTCCGATTTCGTTGATACTTTACCATAATATAGTAAATACCACCATACAGTCCACACTGAAAAAAAAGTTCGGTAAATCCGAATTAGTTAGGATCATATGGAACCAGGTTTTGTTCGGTACACACAACCGAATTATTCGGTCTGTTCACCCGAATTGTTCGGTTTGTGCGACCGAACCATAATAAATTCTTACAGTTCGGTTCAGTGGATCGAACAGTTCGGCTGAGCAGCCCGAATAATTCGGTCGTGTGTACCGAACAAAATCGTGGCTCCATATGATCCTAACTAGTTCGGATTTACCGAACTTTTTTTTCAGTGCAGGATTTATTACCATACTGGTTTGTCCAAGTTTGATAAAATCTACTATATTTTTTTTTCAGTGGAGTGGTTTGTCACAAGGACGAGTGATGACTTACATTTTAATTGACAGCGTTGAAGAACTTTGCTCTTACCTTGGCGACCTTATCAAAGTAGTTCCTTCCGATCAACTGGAGGTTTAGAGACCCCAGACACTTCCTGACAAGAATACCGAAGACCTGGAGATAATGATAATCGGACGGTTGCAGGTCGTTTGTGAACTGGATCGTGACTTGGAATTGAGCTTCGTCGTAACTACGCACAGCGACAAATTCCATGGTCTGTAACAGAGTGAATTGATCGTCGTTCGTGGGTACGTGATGTTGTTGCGTGGAAAAGAAAAAAAAGAACATAATTTATATGAAGCAGCATATAGAATGTGCAGCATTTTTAAATTCATATAGCAAGTTCAGCTTAGAAGTACATAGGTAAAAATATAGAGATTTAAGTTTAAATTTTAAGTTGAATTCTTTTGATATTTAATTGGACAAAAAATTAAAACTAATAAAATAAAATGATTATATAAATATACAATTTAAATTTAGATTAATAATTAGGCAAATAATTAGTTTCCAGCTGTGTATCAAAAGACGAAAGACGAGAAGACCCTTTAGGATTTTACAAACCAAGCCAACTATATTAATTTTGTTTGTTAAATTGGGGAGATTATATATCTGGGAGATTGGCCATATCTTTATGGTAGCTGACGACTGAGTCAAGTGCAAAATATACTTACATGAAGGGCTTAGAGGACGATGCGCATAGGTGCAGTTTTTGCTATTTCGAGAAATACGTGTTTGGAGTTTCGAAATTACGTGGAAGAAAGCTCTAACTGACTGATGCTTAAAAATTGAAATTTGGGTGCGAATTTTTCACAGAATATGCATTAAGACTAGTTTTACTTGGAATCATTGAAATCTCATTTTTTTTTTTCAAAAACTGCACTTATGCGTCTTGTCCTCCAAGCGCCCGAATATTTTTCAACAATTGAATCGCATTTTGTGTCTTAGTAAATCCAAGGGGATAAGGAAGTCTACACACCATAACACGCTATTATTATTTTTTTTCTTTCCTATTTTGAAAAAAAAAAAATAAGTTAAAAAACGTGTTAAAACACGTGTTATGCAATGAGCTACGATTTACAACTTAAAAAAAAAAGGAAAAAAGTTGGAATGCAGCATGTACGTACGTACTGTTACTTGACGCTGACCAGTGGCGTGGCGTGCTTTGCGATATATCGATTGATATGTCATTTAAACCTATGGAAAAAATCGATAAATAGGGTGTTCGCAGCGAACACCTTAATAATCGATTCTTTAGCATAGGTTTAAATGGCATAATAATCGATACATCGCAATTCACGCCACGCCACTGACGCTGACCTTGACACCATCCCACCCCTTGTCACGCTCAGTCATAGAATAATGAAGATCCACGCTGCCGTGCTAAGGAAGAACGCCGTATGAGCCTTCAAGCGTTGCCAGATTTCCTCCGATACAAAACCAATGTAGTGGGAAAATTGTGAGTATTTTTCCTCATATTTTTCCGAAAATTTTGCTCGCAATTCAATCTAAAGTATCTGAAAATTTCGAGGAAAAGTATGAATAACTTTCCTCAAAATTACATGTTTTATCCAGGGAAATTTGGCAACAACCGAATGTTCATACGGCGTTCTTCTCAGCACGGCAGAATGCGTTTCTACTCGCTTACTTTGTTATTCCCGCGTTCAAGTCTCTCGATCATTACAGACTTCAGCGCGTACTGCGTCGCGTGGTTCAACGCCGAGAACCCGTGACAGATTATATTCAGCATTGGATATGAAAACTGAACTTACATCTTGAGGAAGTTTTACGCTGAGAAAAAGACTGTTCCCATCGAAAAGGAAGCCAGTGCCCTGCGTCAGTTCCCGGAGTCTGTCTCGGATAAGTTGTTTCTTGACAAAGACGCGGTCCTCGGTAGAGGGATTGAACGAGACGTTGTAATGATACAGACACCAGTTCGTGACACTTTTAAGCCGGAAGTAATTGGCGCACAGTTTCACGTAAGCACCAGAGGTTCCTGCGATAGATTTCAATAAAACGTCATGAGAAAAAAAAAGGTAGGGGTTGTTGGATGATATGGGCATTTCCAATCAATTGAAGCAGTATCCCAGTAAATTAGGTTATTGACCAATATGTTGCGGCACAACCACAATTAATTGAAAATATCCAAATAATTTCAGTCAATCCAGTCAATTCGATGAGACAAAATTCACAAAAACTCTCTACACCTCTCTGGTGTAACAGGACTTAATTATCTTTCAAGTAATTCCCACCTTGTTATACCTGAACCGGATGAACCTCTATATTTGCCTCAGCTAAAGGCTCTTAGATTTTTCCTGTGTACGATAAGTATCTTGATTTATTTTGCGAGGAAAGATCTGTACTTTTAAAGGATGCCTGTCATTCTTAATACGTTCAATTTTGTACAATACTGTGCTACACCTCTGTTGTGAAATAGTTGCTTCAGGGCGCCGCCGCACGGCGGCCGGGCGGCCAGCGCAAGACGCGCATTGGCGCCTACAAAGCTAAGTGGATACTTCAAGCATTGTGCAATGCGTGAAGTATCCACTTAGGTTTGTAGTCGCCAGTGAGCCTCTCGCGCTGGCAGCACGCCGCTCCGCTCTGTATTTGATATTTATACTCGCATAGTCAGCGGTTTTTAACTCATGATTTTGAAATGTTAGCACACTCTGCATTGATTATTCTCATTTAAATTGATGGGGAAAAAATATGTAGAGAGCTCACTAGTAGTGGAGTCCCTTTATACTGAGAGTCAAGACAACACCCTCTCATGGAGTCACAACCGGGAATCAAGATTACACAAATTGACAGTTTTTCGTAATCTGTGGTCGGTTCATTCTCAAATTCCTTTCTCCGTTCCTTCTCTCATTCCGTTTGTTCCTCGTCGACCCCGTTATTCCCCGGTCCATTCTACACTGTAATCTTTGCAATCGGTGAAAATGTAATCTTTATTCCCGTTTGTGACACTGTGGAGGCCTAAAATACGGGAACAAATCAGAAATGGATTCATATTGTCTTGACTCTCAGTATAAAGTGACTCTAACTATAGTAGGTGAGCGCTTAAAAGGCTGAGTGGCTCACCTTTTTTAGAACGAAGACTTGGGTTCCTCGTCTGCATGAGCTCCGCGGGAACGAGAGCTCCCTCGACGATCCTTTTCCCGCGCAAAGCTCCTCGACCAATCGGAATCCCGTTCCCGTTATCGTCATTTCCACCGCTGGTAGTGTCTTCACAATAGACAACCGTACAAAATAAATGAGCGCACCAAACAAAGAAAAGAATCCCAATTTGTGGCTGAATGGACCACTAGACAAGCTACGAATTTCAGAGGGCTGATTGTTGAAATTGATAGACAAAGCTGTAGACAAGGAAGATATAAGGAGTATGGAGCGATCCTATTGGTTGAAATGAGTGACTCTTGTAGACTAAGGACGAAAATGATGGGCTAACTTAAGGATTTCTTGTGGGTTGCCGATAGTTATCTATTACCCACCTCCTTTGTCCATTGCAACCACCCGCTTCCACCAACAGGATCCTTTCATATCCTTTTAGTCTTATTTGTCTATCGCTTTGTCTACCGATTTCAACAATCAGCTCGCAGCATTCTGATACATGATTATTGATCAAAACTTCACGTAAAACACGATGCTTACAACGAAAATTACCGAAATCAAGTCCTTACGAAGATATTTAATAATTCCTTATGCGTAAATTCAAACCACCCGCTCATTAAAACTCAATGCTCTCCGTGATTCACATCGCTCGCTAAACACTATCATGACAGTCTCTGCGATATAAAAATCTGGCAACCTCAATCTTGACGCTTTGGCTCAGATATAGCAAATTCCTCATATTTTGAACAACACAAGGTGGGAAATGAACATTGCTTGATTGAGGGGCTTGCTGAAACTGTTGTATTGCGCGATTTGACTCACGTAGGGCCTTGAGTTTCTTGTGAGCGGGAAGTTCAAATTCCTCGTAATCAATGTGAAATAAAAACGTTAATATCTTCGTTATGAGTTAGTTTCAGTAATTTTCATTGCGCGAATCTTGTTCTGCGTGAAATTCGGATTAAGGCAAATGTATTAGAATTCTTAAATTCGTACTTTGTCTAATGGTTCATTTTGGACCACTAGACAAGATACAAATTTGAGAAATCTGATATGGCTTACATTTTGCAATAAGGAACTAATATCTCTGGCTCTCCCATAAAAGCACATATCTGCTAAAGAAAACCAATGGCATGTATGTTGCTTCTAAAATGGACCAGATATACTGGTTATTTATTGCAAAATGTAATCCATATATCGTCGGGCCTCTGACGTAAATGCGTATCTTGATTTCCACGTGAGTCCTGATCTCCGTATAAATCTATACTTTCCGGGGCTCATGTGGAAGTAAGAATACGCCCTTACGTCAGAAGAGCGACGATATGTTTCCTCTTCAAAATGTCACATAAAATACGATTCAAACATTTTTATTTATTTATTTATTTTTAGAGGAAACCAAAAAACGATCCATCATAAAACAAGCCATGAATTTTGCCTAGATTATTTGGGGCACACTCAAGAAAATCGTTAAAAAATTAGACGAAGATTTGAGGAACTATTTTTAATTTATCACTTCCTTCGTGGCAAAAATGTGCTTCAGATTTAAGATTGTATAAAAGATCATTTATGCTCCTCTTTTATTCTTTTACTCTTTTCCCCCATCAAAATTTATAGGACCGAGATGAAAAATGGATTACATTTTGCAAAAAGGAGCCAGAAGTATTGCAACGATGATTGTGCATTTTCATCCTTTGCAATAAAATTACTGAAATCATGAAAAAATATGAAATTTTAAATGGTATTTTTTGTCTTAAATTTACAGTTTTTAGCGAGTAAAATAGAAACTGTCAATGGATAATCAGGTATTATTTCAAGACAAAAGAAGTTGCACAATCTTAGCAACATTGCAATGCTCCTGGTTTCTTTTTGCAAAATGCAATCCAAATAAAATCGAAGCTATTTCATCTACAAAATGCCTGCAAAACATCAAGTATTTGATTGTTTACCAGATACCTGAATATTTGTAATCCCGGAAAAGATTCGCATAACCAGAATTGGACACATTTAGACAAGAGAGGTCTATCTACACTGGGAGTTTTGAGTAAAGACAAGCAAGCAATAATTTTGAGCTGATAATATGTGTATCGATGTAGAAAATCGCAAAACACGTTTATGGTTTCGTTTCATTGAAAAATTTTCGTTGCTATTTATCTACCCACCGGAAAACGGAGAAATACCATTTTTTTGGAATTTTTGAGAAGACTTTTGGGAGTTGGAGGAATACTCACCGGCAGAGGCGGATCCAGCAACTTGGCAACACCGGATTCTCTCCATTTAAACCTATGTTAAGTAATCGATTCTTGTCGGAGCACCTGGCCCCTCCAAGAATCGATACATTTCTATGGGTTGAAATGAAGAAAAACAATGTTGCCAATATGCTGGATTCACCAATACTCACCGGAGATGGTCATCCTTGATACTCCGGCGGCGATACTAGCGTCATCCCTTACCGCTTTTCTTGAACCGGCGCGACCAGAAAATACAGGTTGCTGAGAAATAGAAGAAATAGAAAAAATACATACAAATGTATCGACAAGAAAAAAAAAAAGAAAAAAATAAACACCGAGAAATGCGGCCTGAAATTTATGAATCAAGAAAGTAAAATAGTCCTGAATCCGCACTATTTTGCAGGAAAGACAAGGCCAAAAAAGTTCAAAAATTTAAATACAGTTAAATGTATATCATTTTTTTTTTTTTTTTTTTTTTTTTTTTTTTTTTTTTTTTTAGAAATTTCTCATTAGAGCTCAACATCGAAAAAAAGTGAAGTTGATTTGACATTCTGGATGTAAAAAAAAGTGTGCGACAAGTATAAAATGCTGCATTACCCGCTACGCTACAGCAGTTACTTTAGCAGTGCGAAGATGTAAAACCAACTGCTGTGGCGGGTATTTCAGCATTTTATAAGTACTCGCTCACTTTTTTCACGTCCGGAATGTTAAATCAACTTCACTTTTTTTTCGGTGAAAGTTTTTGAATCTAATTGACATTTTTGAACCCCATCAGAGGTCAAAAGTTTTGACTCTAATGGAATTTTCCAACTTTTTCGGCCTTGTTTTCCCTGCAAAATAGTGTGGACTCAACACAATCGTAACACCTTGTTAATAATGTAAATTGCATAGAAGTATGGTGGTTAGAAAAGGAGAAAAATACGAGGAGAAGAAGAATTTGAAGCAGAAACTCTTTCACTTTATCAAGCGGACGATTTCATGCTAAATGAAACCATGTCTGATGAAAAATGCTCCTGTTGAATAAGCCGTGACAGGAAATCTTCTTCTAATTAAATTCTTGAGTATATTTGAGAAAAAATTCTGTAAAAACATTGTCCCAAAGTACACAAGTTTTTCTGCTACAATGCGTTGTTTCCGAAAAATTTAAAATGGCGCTTACGGCGTTTTTGCGTTGCACAGCAGTACCTTTTCTTAGGCTCAAGAGGCCCTACCTATTTTGTTTGTTCACATTGCGGTTAAGGGAAGATCGAGGAAACCCTCAAAATGGCTTCATAAAAAGGAAACTTTTTAAAAATTTCGAGTAAAATTCAGCAGTACAACTTTGGAAATAGTTCATTTAGAGGGATCACAATGATTTGCCGTAGCTTAAATACGTGCACATGGAGTAGGGAAAATACCTGTTGGGATTGGGCGCTGGGTCCTGGCTGGGGTGTTGGAGCTGCTGATTGCCCTGGTCGCCGCTCCGCTCCGGGTCTGCGGGGATCACCGCCTCGGCCTTGGGTCGCTGGTTGGTTGGGTGCTCTACCGCGAGAGGTCGCTCTCGCCCGCCCTCTTCCACCACTCTGTTGTTGCGACATCGCTCTGAAGCATACCCAAACATACCGTTAGACGAGCATCAGGAGCCTGATTATTGAAATTCATAGACACAACTATAGGCAAAGAAGACAAAAGAGATACGGAGGGATCCTATCGGTCCTAGCAGATGGTTCCCTGGTAAAAATTGGCAGTAGAATCTGTGTTCCAAAATACCATAGACCTAAAGCCGGCTGTAAGATTTTCGATAGCTTCTATAGCCGGCAACAGAATTTCTTATAGCATTTTATAGCCGATGGCGATTAAGCAACAGCCAGGCGATAAAGTGTATGCTAAATGTTACTAATTACGGATGCTAGGGACTAACTGAGTTTTTTGACTACCGCTCTATTTTTGGGCCGTAGTATCTTGATTTATTTTGCGCGGAAAGCTGCGCACTTTTAAAGGATGCCTGCTATTCCTAATATGTTGGAGCGCCTTCAATTCCGTATGATACTGTGCAATACCTCTGGTGTGAAATAGTTGCTTCAAGCGTGTGGCACGCTGCGGCGCGGCGGGCGGGCAGCCAGCGCGAAAAGCGCATTAGCGCCTACAAACCTAACAGGGATACTTCAAGCATTGCGCAATGCGTGAAGTATCCCTGTTAGGTTTGTAGGCGCTAGTGCGCGCTTAACTCGGGCAGCACACCGCTCCGTTCTGTGTTAGGCTCCAATATATAATCTTGCGGAGTCAGCGTTTTTCAACCCATGATTTTAAAATAATTGCACATCCTGTATGGATTATTCTCATTTTAATTGATGAAAAAAAATATGTATTAAAGGAAAATATAATGTGTGTTTTGTAAATATTATGATGGTTCCGTATCAAACTTAATGATTTCCAAAGCGCACGAATTTCTACACAATTTCTTATAGCCTTTTATAGCCGATGGCGGTAAAGTGTAAAGCCCGGCGATAGGAACTATAGCCCGACTGTATACTTTTTTATCGCTTCGTATAGCCCGGCTATATGATTTGCTCCGCTTTCTACAGCCAGCTATACGATTTTCTATTGCCTTCTTTAGCCGGCTATAAGAATTCCTATGGTATTTTGAAACGCAGCTCCTATCACCAATTTTTACCAGGGTTCCAATGGACAAAGGAGGAATATTTCCGAAAAATGGGTGGGAGAGGGGGGCAGGGTCCACTCTGTGCGGCTAGAGAGACTTCGATGGGCTCTTGGGAAGAATAATTGGCCCCTTATAGCATCCTGAGGTCCCCCAGTGGGCTGATTATTGAATTGATAGGCAAAGCTATAGACAAAGATCTTTTGTGGCGATCTTTATAACCTCATCGAAAAAGGGAACATTCAATCTAGAAATTACGAGGTAAAATTTTGAAGGAGAGATAAGGTGTTCAGTAAGAAAAGTAAAAATAAAGAGATAGGAATACATGTATATTCAATGCAACAGAGATCTAAAGCAGGGTGCAGGAGGTCCCATTCAACAATCATTTTGTTGGCCATGACAACATTTTGGGACAACACTGAACATTCGAAGCCTAATTTAGCGAGATTAAACATAACTAAATTCGTTAAAATTCACTGACTGATCGTGAATGGCTTCTTTTGGCTCCCCTCGTGAATCCAGAGTTTTTTGCGAACAAGGTGAAGTCATATTTTAATGATATTTTCATTAACCATTAGATGCTGAAGCCCGGTAAAATTGACTGGAAACTTGTTTTAAAAAAAACTAGCAACGCGAGTTGTGAGGGACCGCGTTCCGTACGAGCCGTAGATATAGGGCTGTAAATATTTGTGCACTAAAAAATAATCAAACCTCAAATTGAGAAAAGAAGAAAAAATTGAGGAACAACAGTGTCGAGACGTAATCGGGCATTTCAAATTTCTCTCTCGAAATTGAGCGACACCTCACCGGCAGTATAGAAAGGAGCAATCCGAGTTCACGCATAGCATCATCGCGCCTTCAATTTTGCAGATGCAACACGGACATCCATCATGTACGAATAGTTGTATCCCTGCGCCGTCATCAAACCTAGCCTTACTTTGCTCTATTTCCATACTGTGTTTGTTTCAGTTTGTCTTATTTGTATTATTAGTCTGTATCTAAGAGTGCACCGCGAGATCACCCCCCATTCATTCCTGAGGGTTGCAGAATCAGACGGCGAGACGGGAGGAATGAGAAAGGAGAAAGAAAAGGATGGCCGAAGTTGTTAAGGCCAGGCCACTTCTGCAGTGTTAAGGAAAAACGTCATATGAACATCCGAGAATTGCCAGATTTCCCCTCTTCAAATGTTAAATTTTGCGACAAATAATGAATATTTTTATCTGAAATTTTCTGATAATTTAAATCACATTGCGAAGAAAATGTTCTGATAAATTGGGAGGAAAATTTTCACAAGTTTTCCTGAAAATTCGTATTTTACCAGAATAAATTTGGCATCGCACAAAGGTTCATACGGCGCTCTTTCTTAGCACGGCAGACTTGGCGAAGAGCTCCATGCGGACCGAGGCAAGGGCTCAGACGGCACCCGCTGAGGGTAGTCGTGTTTTGTTCGAAACAACTAATTGTTTCTGTTTTTTTTTCTTGTTCCTTTTACGCAATTCTGAAGAAACAATGAGAGAACGAATTCGAATTTCAGGTTAGATAACAGCGTTGTCTTGGGCAACAACTTAAGAACGACTTGCTCTGAGCACGTTGCAGTTTTTGTACGAGAATATTGCTTCAGTGGCTCCCAAGTTTTGCGCTCGAAAACAAGACCCCCCCCCCCCCCACGCACACACATACACACACCCTCACACAAAACAACTTCGAACAAAATGCGATTGTTGCTTTTTCACAACACGTTGCTAGTGTTGTTTCTGAACAAAATATGACTGATTTTGAGGACAGGCGAGGTTTTTCACATGTAACATGGGGCTCGGAAATAAACGTCCCATGCCACCCGGGACAGGATGGTCCGGACAGGATAGGAAGTTGGTCCGGACAGGATAGGAAGTTGGTCCGGACTCAACTCGGCCTGCAACCCTGTGGGGCTCGGATGAAGTTTCCGGACTCACCAGCGATGAAGCACGACTTTTACGGGAATGGTGATCCCGCACCCCTGGTAAAACTTGGCAGTAGAATCTGTGTTCCAAAATACCATAGACCTAAAGACGGCTGTAAGATTTTCAATAGCTTCTATAGCCGGCAACAGAATTTCTTATAGCATTTTATAGCCGATGGCGATTAAGCAACAGCCAGGCGATAAAGTTTGTGCTAAATGTTACTAATTACGGATGCTCGGACTTAGTGAATTTTTGGACTACCGCTCTATTTTTGGGCCGTAGTATCTTGATTTATTTTGCGCGGAAAGCTGCGCACTTTTAAAGGATGACTTTTTCTATTCCTAATATGTTGGAGCGCCTTCAATTTCGTATGATACTGTGCAATACCTCTGGTGTGAAATAGTTGCTTCAAGCGCAGTGGCACGCTGCGGCGCGGCGGGCGGGCAGCCAGCGCGAAAAGCGCATTAGCGCCTACAAACCTAACAGGGTTACTTCACGCATTGCGCAATGCGTGAAGTATCCCTGTTAGGTTTGTAGGCGCTGATGCGCGCTTATCGCTGGCAGCACACCGTTCCGCTCTGTGTTAGGCTCCAATATATAATCTTGCGGAGTCCGCGTTTTTCAACTCATAATTTTGAAATGTTTGCACATCCTGTATGGATTGTTCTCATTTTAATTGATGAAAAAAATATGTATTAAAGGAAAGTATAATGTGTGTTTTGTAAATATTATGGTGGTTCCGTATCAAACTTAATGATTTTCAAAGCACACGAATTTCTACACAATTTCTTATAGCCTTTTATAGCCGATGGCGATAAAGTGTAAAGCCCGGCTGTATACTTTTTTATCGCTTCTTATAGCCCGGCTATATGATTTGCTCCGCTTTCTACAGCTAGCTGTATGATTTTCTATTGCCTTCTTTAGCCGGCTATAAGAATTTCTATGGTATTTTGAAACGTACCTCCTATCGCCAATTTTTACCAGGGACTGACTCGATTCCAACGCCGGACTCATTTTTCAGTGTGGCAGCGCGAATGAATACGTATATCTTTTCAAAAACCACACATACATCTTGCTCCATCAACTTTGATAGAGCCAATGAAGAATGCTGAAATTTATTGGGAGGTATCATCGACTTAAGGCCCTGTCCACACGAACGCGGTTGGAGGAACTTATTCGACGAACTGCTGGGTTCCCGGAACTTATTCCTTAAAACGAGGCATGCTGTCCACACGAGTTCGTCCGAACTGGAACCGGAACCTCAATAAAAGTATATAATTATCGCAAAATAATAGATTATTACGGCCGCCAAAGTAACAAAAATAAATGTCAAGACATGTAAAGGAGGTAATAAACAAAAACAAACAACTTCACATCAAAAGAAATATATGTAGAAGCTCGGAGTACGGGGGAAGTTCCGGGTTTTGGAGGAATAAGTTTTAGCTCAGCTGAAAACTTGTTCCGGGAACAAGTTCCTCGAACTGAGTTCCGCGAACCGCGCTCGTGTGAACGGCCTAAGGTTCGCCTTCAGTTTCAACATATTCAAATGGGAAAAAAATCCAGGATAAAAACCTACGGTGTCCTTCTAGGCGACGATTCAATTTTTCAGGTTGTGGTATTCTGAATATTCTGAAAAATCGTAATCGTCGACTTATAGGAATAAAATAAAAAAAAATCCTCTTACCGTATGTCTAGAGATACATTTTCAGCACGAATTAGAGATAAAAAATTTGTGTGAGAAGCACCAACGATTAGGCACTTGATCGGCACTTTTTTTTATTTAATAAACATTCAAAGCTGTTGTAGGGGTGTGAGTTTAATGATTTAAAAATTTTCCAAAAAAAAAAAAAAAAAAAAAAAAAAATAGTTCACGGCAAGTAGACGACACAACGATGAAAAAATTTTCTCAGGAGAAATTACACTTACTAGGCAAGAAGTGGTATCCGCAAATCCGACGGTTGAGAACGGAAAATTAACTGGTAATATCGTGAAGAACGAGAATCAATTGATCGATCATTGGGCGCATCCAACGTCCCAAAATCAACCCCCCTCCCCACCCCCGCTTCCTCGATGCGGCATCCCTCCCATATCCAAGCGATGTTGCCGGAGCTCTTAACGATCATAATTATCTCATTTTTGATTCTCAGATGCCTTTTCCGACCGAGGCATCTGCCCTCATATCCACGCATTCAATGTCAGTGACCGTATAACGATGTCTGAGTTATGTCATGCTTGTTATCCAAGGTGATTCAGGATTGATCCTTCTGATATCCCTAAAACCGACTTTAAGCATTGGTACCAAATACAAATTTGATCATGAAATAGAGTTCAATGTAACTCCATATGTATGGCCCGGGTAAAGCTGTAGAGGCGAAAGATAGAATAAGATAGAATAGATGCTCGGCTAAAATGTAAAATTTTCTTTTCCGTCCTTTCTGTACTGCCGTGCTAAGGAAAAACGCTGTATGAACATTCAAGAGTTGCTAAACTTCCTCTGATAAAATGTTTATTTTTGAGAAGAGTTATGAATAATTTCCCATGAAATTTTCAGATATTGTAGATCAAATCGCAAAAAAAATTATCTGAAAATTTGGAAGAAAAATATTCGTGAGTTTACCGGGAAATTCATGTTTTGTCCAAGAAAATTTAGCAACGCCACAAGGTTCATACGGCATTTTCCCTTAGCAAGGCAGTGTAGCTTGACGTATACCATAGCCTTGCGGCTCTCATGTACTGAAATGAAAATAAAATAAAACAATTGGCGAGACTGCCTTGAATGGTACTTCTTGTGTTACCATTCGTTAATCTAACGTACACGAGAATGTGTTCGAGGCTGAAAAATGAATAAAAAAATTGTGTTTTTCAGCAGGTCGATGGATTCCGAATGTGAGCAGCACAGTTTGCAATGAACTGCGATTACCTGCGCGGTAAAATTAATGTTAGGTACAGCGTCGGAGTATTGTGTATACATGTTGCCCATGTACGAATTGAAGGAGCGCTGTCCTCTTATTGAAAGTTTTTCATAATAAAATTGAACGAAGTTGCAATTTATTTCCTTGGAATAGGCCTTGTCTCCACGGGCCGTTTCACGGGATTTGTCCCAGGGAAAAATCCCACTCACAAAGTTGGGAAACATATTGAGTTAATCAATGTTTTTCCCAGTACCAAGTATGGTCCTTTCACCCCGAGTACCCACTGAGAGAGGAAGATGGGGTGTAAACGATTTGTGCGATATTTTGTTGATTACTCCATTGTTCATGTTTGTTTCGTTAAAATAATGTGTCTAATTGTCAATTGGGTGCAAATTTTATCTTAAACCCGGTTAAATACTCGACTTTAGCTAATTTATCTTCCCGCGCAAACTAGTCGCAGGACCGTATGAGCCTCGTCCCGTGGAGACGGTAATTGGGAAATATCCCAGAAGTTTCACTCCTGCGATTCGAACTTGGGAAAAATCCTATGAAAACGTCTCGTGGAGACAAGGCCTTAGAAATTGCTTAACTTTGTCTGATCATCTGGTCTTTTTACATCGGCATTCATAGATGGCAAATGATGTAAAACTATTGCAGTTGCACGATAAAATATATTACAAAAAATTGCATATTTCTCCATTCTAAGGTCGAATTTTGACATTTTCAATGGATGTTTGTATTTTACGTGAAATATTAATGGGAAAATACGAACTGAAGTGCCGAGTTAGAACCTTGTCTAGTTTTCCATCAGCTACACTTGATTTTTCCACAATTCACCATATTGAACTCGTTATATTTAAATATTTTGGAATCTATTCGACTGGTAATGAATAAAAATTAATTCACATTTAATTTTAAATATTTTTTAATTTATTTTTATAATTTATTTTTTTAAAATTCAATACTAATTAATTTTTTTTATTCATTCAATATTTAAGTATTATTAAGTCGCCCGCGTAACGAGTCTAATCTTTACTGCACCGATAAAACAGGCGTATATCTTTTTAATAGAATAATGACCACATCAGTGGGCATGAGTGTGATTGAATAATTGAAGGTCGATCTGTAAGAATCCATCCCGGTGACATAACATTTTTTTGTTGGTACAACGAAGGAGTCATCCGAAAATCAAGAGGAAAATCACTAAAAATGTGGCCCGAAAAATGCTGTAAGTGACAGGATGGGAGAGCAGTGCTGAGTCTGCACTCTACCCTGAGTGGAAATGTTATCGGTAGTGATTTTCGAATCAGAAACATTATACCTACCACGAAGGCATCGCAATACGGTATCACACGTTGAAAAATCTACACCATTTGGCAATGCAGCCATGATGCAAACACGGCTCATCCGAATTCTGAGGGTTTCATGGTGAACACGATCGTAATTGCAAGGTAGAAAACCATTGAGAACAAACAACCGCAACCATAGGTACGCTGTGCTTAAGAAACTCAGAGCGCCTGCAATATTTTGTGTATGCAACACGGACATCTTGAGAACACGAAAAGTTGCATCCAGACCTACCCATTAAAAAGCCAGAGCGCCTTCAATGGAGATGTTGCATGTGCGAGGAATTTGCGATTTGACTGATGATTCTTATGTAAAAGTTCGCGAGAGACACGATGGTGCCACTGGTTTTCTCTGAAATCAACTCCCAAGCTCAAAAAAAGCTCTCGAGTTGAAGCGAAAATGGAGGGGATATCCCACGCTATCCTGAGAGTTCACCTCTACATCAAGACGAACTCTCCATGCAAAGAGGGAGCAAATACATTGACAGAGCTGCCACCTTACTTTGGGACTCTTAAACTGAAATCACGGCAACCTTGTCAATGTATTTGCTCCCTATCTTTGCATGGAGAGTTTGCCTTGATGTAGAGGTGGACTCTTAGGATAGCGTTGGATATCCCCTCCATTTCGGCCTCAACTTGAGAGCTTTTTTTAGCTTGGGAGTTGATTTCAGAGAAAGCTAGTGGCACCATCGTGTTTCTCGCGAACTTTTACATAAGAATCAACAATCAAATCGCAAATTCCTCACACATGCAACATCTTTATTATTTCCGCTTGTGATAATAATGTGTGTGTCTTATTGCAGTCATTTGTCATTGCACGAAGATAAGGCGGTATAAGTATTTAATCAAATTAAGAGAAGAAATAAGTAAGTTAATGATAAATATTAATCCAACGGACAATCGGAGACTTATCATTGCGGCCATTACCCGCCTGACTCTATTGCCAATCACATTCACACGGCTCACCATCCTCTGAATATTCTCATTAAATTTACTTGGAAAAATGAAATCTGAAATCGTATCTTATATTTATTACTTACTGTCCTCTGCATGTGGCGGCATTGCCAAATAGTGCAATTTAAGGGACCGTTTACCGGCAATAACAAGCGGAGTCATGACTATCATGATCATATCGCAGTTTGCAGAGGGACAGGTTTTCTTGAATTCAAAACTTCTTTGCCTGTTCGGATATTTTTAACCAATAAAAATCTCCGACTTTTCCCTGGGTCTAAAAAGTTTTTTGGCGAGGTATCTGATAAAAATTCCAATCATAAACAATTTTGAGGTCGGACAACTTTTGGAACTATGACGGTCGCAGCCGTACGGTGTGCCTGTGGAAGCCAGTCCGCTAAATTTATGAGTATTTTAAGGGTTTCCGCAATGGATCGCCCCTCTTTATGTTTCAGGATGTCTTCAATACGTGTCCCTTTCCAATTCTTTCAGGGAGCCCAAATCGATCCCGCAACAATTAAAAATGTACACAGATTCGACTTAGGGAAGATCGAGGGATAAGATTGCTCAACGCAGGCATGCTTCAGCTTAGTGCCTGAGCTGAAGACCCCATGCTCAGGCTTCTACCAGAACGACCATCAGAGTTCATTTTAAACTAAAATTCTTGTTTCGATACTTTTTGCTTCGGTTTCCCTTCAAAATAGTGTGGCCTCAGCATTATTCCACCATGCTGTGACCAAAAAATAAGTTGATCGATATTTTTACATGTGACACCGAAGATAAGGAGTCCATAACCAGTGCGAGGGAGACGCTTTATGGCACGGATTTATCTAAATGTCCTAAGTTGCATCTCTTATCTACAACCAACATTTTTGATCGTGTATACCGGCAGCAGTCAGTGGACCAGTGCTCTTATGAGATGCATTCTTAAACTAAAAACCTGCTTAACGGAGTCGCTCGATGGCCCTTGAGCCTTGAACGACGAAAATACTGCCATGCCAAGGAAGCACGCAACGCCGTATGAGCATTCGAGAGTTGCTAAGTTTCCCCTGATAAATGATGCATTTTGGAGGAAAGTTGTGCATATTTTCTCTTGAAATTTCAAGACATTTCTAATTAAAATGCTCAGCAAAAAAAATGAAAAATTCGGGAAAAAATATTCACAAATTCTCCGATAAACTCGATTTTCTATCGAGAGAAATATGACTCCACCTACTGGATCATATACGACGATCTTCCTTGGCAGGGCAGTATTCTGCCCCGCTAAGGAAAAGCGCCGTATGAACATTCGAGAGTTGCCAAATTTCCCTTGATAAGACGAGTATTTTTGACGATATTTATGCACATTTTTCTTTTACATTTTTAGATATTTTAGATTTCCATGCGTACAAAATAGTCAAAGAATTAGTACAGTAGTAGTAGAATCAGTACATAGAGTCGTAATGTAAGTGGGAGAGCTGGCGCCATGTTCTGCTCGACGCGTTCCGAGCCCGGTGTGCGGGGTCACTTTTTCGATACATATTCGATCCAAAATGACGGTGTGGAATATGACCGGGTCCGCGTGTATCGCAAACAATCGATTATGTATCGAAAAAGGGACCCGGCGCCGCACAGGAATCTCGGAATTCGGGACCTGGAAAATGCTTAAAAGTGGGGCAAGCTCCCCCACTGCATTACGACTCTGTGTACCCTATGGCCATGTAATGTAATATAATGTAATGTAAAAGTAATGTAATTATATAATGTAATGTAATCCATCAGTACAGCATGCAACGCTAAAATTGAGTGTAAGTGTGAGAGAAACGTGTACAGCATACGACGAACACTGAAGGGATTTCAGTATAACGCCTGGATGCAACTATTCGGGCTCCACGGATGTCCGTGTTGTATACACCCGGTATTGAAGGCGTTTTGACATTTCATAAACATACCGCTTCATCCACGGGGTTGGATGCAACTATTCGGGCTTCACGGATGTTCGTACTGTATACACCCGGTATTGAAGGCGTTTTGACACTTCATGAACATACCGCTTCATCCACGGGATTGCGGCATAGCATGCGGCAGGCTGTACTGCGAGGATCCGAAATGACCGAGTGCCGTACATTCTTCGTCTATACTACAAAGGCATATTTTAGGCACGAATAGTTGCACACAGGCGTCGGATGTGAGTATATTTTGTGCATGACTTGATATCACGATGTGATGAGCATGATTTGTAGAAGGACTATTCGTGCCAAACAGATATTTTTGAAGTATAAACGAAGAAACGAAAGCGCTCTGTCCTTTGGATCCTCCCATTACTCTCCGCTGCCGCCCTGGCTGCTAGTGCTTGGAAACTTAAAACGCCTTCACTTTCGTGCGTCTGCAACACGGACATCCGTGGAGCCCGAAAAGTTGCATCCTAACGTTATGATGGAATTCGTATATTGCTCGTTGAGAGCGCCCTGCTTTAAAACTTAAAATTAATTTTAAAGAAATTTACTTGGCGTCTATTTTGTGGGATGTCACTATGTAGACCACTATGTAAGTAGATGTAGACTGTGAAACAGTAGAAATGTTTGTTCCTCAAAAAGGACGTAACATAATCCCCTATGAGTCAAATATTTGTCAATCATAGAAAACAGCTTCACTCCTTATTTTATTCCAAAGATGAGCAGATGGCCAAATTGCGAAACCAAGTATATCCATTGCGATGTTTCAAAGATTTCGCTCCTATTTTAATTTTTTTCAAGAAAAACCAAACTTTTTACTTTATTAATTAAAATTTATACAGAATACTCTGTTGACAAAGAGGAGAAATCAAGAAAGTTTTTCAAGAAATTACGTTAACTAGTTTGATAGGTAGCCTTACAATGTCGCAAACGGAGATACATGGTTGCGCGCCGTGTTCTTCCTGCCGTCAATTCAAAATCACCCGCGCAAATTCGTATTCCTAATGATTACTTACCATTCCCGCTATTCCGGTAACACCAACTTTCCGTGACAAAATTGTTGTGTCCATGGGCTTCTTTTTATTTTATTACTTTGCCGTGTGTATCATGCTCCAAAATTTTTTCATGACCGATTTTAAATAAATTAAGTACTTTGTAAATGCTCATATTGATATAAATTCTAAAAGACACACAGTAAAGTCGGAAAAATATCGGGACGTTTAGTTCCATGTGATATTGCATTAAAGGCATCATTGAGTCGATTTGCTTAATCCGCCATCTTGCTTGTTTACATCTTTTCTAAGCGTTCATCGGAAATCGTGGACAGTCGCTGAGGTGAATAAATTTCTATTACTTATCCTTCCGAATCCGTATAATTATAAAGTTTTTCACTTTTTTTCTGGTTTTAATTTTTACCCGGCACCGATTTCTCATCGATAAATCTAATTCCTGTTCGTTTGATCTTTTCAGAGACGTGACTGCTTATCCCTGTCAAGATGGTCCAGCGTGTCGTTTTGCGGAGACGGCTCTCCTACAACACAAACAGCAACAAACGGAAAGTGTAAGTAATTCAAAGTCAACTGTCGTCTTAAAATTTTCTCTTATCGCAACGCCGTCGCATGCACTCCGAATTCTCCGAAGTATCGAGCGAAATTTGTCAGAAACATAACCTATCTTTTCTCAGCCGTTGCACTGTCAACGGCCACTTCCGACTGAATTTTACTCAATGGTAAATTATGTCTACCTAATTTCTCCGACCCAGGGTCTGCCCCGCTCCCATTTTGATTAAGCACTAAAGTTAAGTATAAGCTCCCTAAAATTTGGAAGAGTCGCTACTCATGTGGAGAACCATGTTTGCGCAGTCATCATTCGTGCAGAGCTCACGCATCACATGTTGAGACAATTGGGTTTACACACCACTCCTGTGATAAACTAACCTCTCTCCTAACATTGTGCTGAACACAATAGTGGATAGCCTCTCTACAGTTCGCTAAAAAAAAAGAATATGTTGATACATACGTCAAAGTATTGTTTATGTCACCATTCACCAGTGGTGCCACCTGACTACATGCATTAACCTGTTGAGTGGGGCAAATTCTGAGCTAATTAGAAATTAACGTTTGTCTCAACGTACAATGTACAAGCTCTAGTAGGGTGAATCTGCATCGCAGACCGGTGCTGTTGGTCAATGAAGGGAAAACTCACTTTATCCTTATCCAGCCTTTTCATGGATTTTTTTGTGGCAGAGCTTGAATCTTTTGTTTGCAACTTCCCTACTTCATCATCTGACTTGCTTGAGCTCTGTACTAAACAACCTACACTGTGGCTTTATTATTGAAACTATGCTTGCCCGACTACAATTAGGCATAATCCTACTGAACCATTCAATACATGGACGGTGAAACTACCAGATATTGTATCTCGATTGCGGTGTTTCAAAATCTTCTCTTCAAATTTTTTAAGAAAACCAGACCAGTATCATTCCCTGAAATTTTCATACTTTTCTGTGCATGAAAAAGAAAAATCACGGAAGTTTTTAAGAACTGACTTTGAGTAGTTTCCCATTTTAAAAGTATAGTATAACAGGAAGTCTGCAATGTGTTCAACCGAGATACCTGGTCTGGTAAACTTGTGTGATGAAGACTCATGTTGTGTGTTTGTGTTTCAGGATCCGAACTCCCGGAGGTCGCTATGTTTACCATTACCTGAAGAAGAAGGGATCCGTTCCAACCTGTGGTGACTGCCGCGTTAAACTTCAGGGATGCACACCTAGCAGACCCTTCGAAAGGTCAAGGATAAACAAGCGTAGGAGGTCCTTCAACAGAGCTTATGGAGGTCAATTATGTCATAAGTGTGTCACACAAAAGTAAGTCAATGGTTTTCAGTTTTTAATTAACAAGGATGCAACTTTTATCAAATAAATTGGCAGTTGTTTCTTTTGATGATGCAGTTGACTGATGTATGTCTTCTGCTCAAGGTGTCACTTCCCGTCAATGCCCAGTTGCTACTGTCTGTGGCAGCGCAGTCATCTGCCAACCAAAAGTATACAACTGCAATCTAACCTCATAAAATCTCGAGTGAATGAAGAGCTTCATAAGATCATTTTGGTTCCCAAAATTGAGCCTCCTGCCTTTCTTAAGGGGAGAGTTAGAAAGTGGTGAACATTTTTATTATCTGTACAGTTTGACTCCTCAAGTCACAATTGGTCTTTCCTGTTCAACAATTTCTAACTTCTTTGCCCAATCCTCACCCTCTACTTACGCTGTATCATGCTATATAAATGGAATGTAAGAGGGTAGAACTTTACACGGTTACTTTAGATGATATGAAATTTGATGATTAAATGCCCTAAGAATGTGTCTCAATTTCTACAGTTAATAATCCCTGAATATGGTTTATTTTTCAAAGGAAATTATTAAAAATGTTCCTTTGCCATTTTGTACGACTTTCATATGTAAACTAAATTAAGAGAATTCACCAAATATTTCAATTGATCTTGTTGGTTAGTTTTTCTTTGTAGAAGGAAAAAATCTATTTTGAACTGCGAAATTTAAGATCAGGCAAAATTTGTCATCTATTTTCTAAACTTTTTGATGCTTGAAGAATTTGATTTTTACCACTAGAAGGATTTTCAAGGAAGAGTAAATTGGACATTACAACTTGCAGAACTTGAATTGGCCTAACATGCAGTTTTTATTGAAGGAATTTTGGGTCCATGCAGGCTATGTCCTGCATATCTTGGAAGTTCATTCACTCAGTCAGAATTCATAAAATTTGATTTACCCAAACAACCGTGATTCTCAAGATTTTCACCATCGTAGAGTAATTCATCTTCTCTTAGGAAATCATAGAATCTTTTTATATTGTAAAACTCGAGTGGAAATTTGAGTGTGCTGAAAATTTCTCAAGGCATGACGTAGATCAGATTTGGACTTTTAGTCTTATAGAAACGTATCAAAGTGTTTTTTTTCTTTGGAAACTAGGAGTAAGCTCGCAAGCTTATGAGCAGAATCCTCGATAAGAGCAATGGAATTTTTTCCCTTCTTTGGATTCAGTTTCAAATTTTGAAGAATCCGCAGACAAGCCAACTCCAGAATATGTCATGAAAACACCATTAAAAGATTTTTCTCAATGTGAACTTCATTTTGCTGCTTAGAAATGGATGAAAAAGTATGTCCGGGTTGATTAGTGCTATGAGTTTTCATATATAAGGTTTTTTTTTTTTTTTTTTTTTAAATCAGAAAATCAATTATATTCTCTCGAGTAAACCTCTTTTTTCCTGAAGAACTCTGTGCATTTTTGTTTACTTTGCTCCATTTCAAATCCAACTGTGTGATCACTAGCCTTCATCTATCATCATTATTGTTTTCCTTCGGATTATTTCTTATTCATATCATTGTGCGTGAAGTGTATCTGATAAAAATGTGTCTTTTTACAGGATCGTCAGAGCGTTTTTGTTAGAAGAACAGAAATTAGTCAAGAAATTGCTCCGAGCACAAAGGGACAAGAACAAGGGAAAGGAAGTTAAAAAGGACAAGAAATCGAAAGATTAAACAATCGTTTTTACTTTGTTTTATTTTTATAATTTTAACATCTAAGATCATTAAAACTTCTTTTTTTTTGTACATACACTCAAATGATTTTTTCTTTTCAATGCCCAGAATCTGATCCTGTGAGTTAAGATGCTACCAGCCCAATTTGACCTATAATATCAAAATCAATTCAGCTCTTAGCTATGAATGCATTCTTTTCCTTACCATTGCCGCAACTAGTTATCATGATAATTATGTGCTACTCTTTATTGTTATTATTGTTTTAAAGAACAGTTAGGTTAACTTATGCTGTGCTCCTGTAGTTTGTCGATTAATAATAAGTGTAATTCAAAAAGTATTCGGCTTGAAACCCAAAAAAATCATAATTTGTAATTTTCTTAAAATCTGAGTTGATCAGATTTGCACTAATCTCATTTCAAGTTAAAAACACATTAAGATGGATATTTTAATCCGCAGAGAAAAAAAAGGAGGCGTTTGCATTTCGGGCATCTTGGAATTTTTTTGATGACGTAGGTTGGCACAACGACTTTTATCAACGATTTTCTTGGAAATTGTGTAATTTATGGAAAAAAGTCATTCTATAAAAAGTGCTTGAAATTATATCATGAGTTTATTCAAGCAAAAAAATGGGGCATTATGGTCCGGTTTTCATACTTCGAATTCCGGATTTTGCTGGCCAGGTTGGACCGACCTACGTCACAGGGTAAACAGACCTCAAGATGCAAACACCTCCTTTTTTTTCTCTATGATTTTAATAAAGTATTGAGAATTGCACTTAAATAGCACTGTGTCTTGAATCTGGTGCTCAAGTTCAGGAATGATGCCATCTTATGGATGATAGTGTCCGATCAAATCCGATTTTCCAAAGTTCAACTTATCAACTGCTATAAATGAATTGATTGAGAAGCGCATCACACCAACTTTAATTGAAAAATTAATTGGTTTCTTCAAAAACTGCCCCATCTGGAAAAAAATTAATTCTGTTTCATACCAGGAACTTTATTAGAGCTGTTGGATTTTAATTTTCTTTTTTTTTTTTTTAATTTTTTAACAGCTGTCTTGAATATTATGATTATTTAAGTGCTCAAAGTCAAGGCCAAGAAGCAGTTTACCATTAAAGAATTAAGAGGCTTCACATCATTGGCTACAAGGCTCTTTTTGGGAACATAATAACGTGCGCCGAAAATATTTTCCCTTCACTGAAAATTTTTGACCGAGATGAGTGTTTTCTCATCCCTCAAATTTTTTAGAGCTGAGTATTTAATGGAAAAAAATTTTCTCTCAAGAGATCTGTCTTGAAGTGATTTGGAGCCTGGTGCCTATGATACCTCCCTAATTTCATTTCCATGCAAAAAGTAGATTGAGAAAAAAAAAAAAAATCAATAAAATGAACTACTGTGCATATGACGTCCTATCTTGTCAGGTTCTGAAACTAAACTTAGAAAATGTTGCTATTTTCTGCAGTAGATGGAACTGTGTCGTCCTATTAATACGCATCCACTCCAAATACCTATGCTTGCACACATAACATTATTCTTCAAACTTCTTGAGTTAACCTGTTTTTAAAAAAAAATGGAAGCACACCTTTTTTTCTGTAAACCTTGAAATGGATTGTTACTCATTAAAGCAAGAGAAGTTGAAGGAAATTATTGCTCTTAGGAGAAAAAGTCTTTTAATCTGAAGAAAAACTTTCTGCTCCCCTCCTTTCTCCTCATAATTATATTTTAGTTGAAATTGTACTACATTTTGCAATTTGGAACTATTAATTCCAGCCTGGTTTAAAAACAGCGTATGTGCCATTCGGTTCCCGATGCACACAAGTGTTTTTCCAGAAGAGCCAGAATTCATAGTTCCAAATTGCAAAATGCAGTCCAATTACCAACTATCCCTTCAAGTCCTTATTTTCATTTGTATATCTTCAGCTATAATAAATTCATAGTGACTGTCGAAATTTTCTGACCTAAAGGAACTCCTACAGGGGATCACAACATTTTTGTGTCAAAATATCAGTCATTAAATACCTCTTCATGCACAGTAAAATACTTAAAATACTGCACATTTCATATCAACTGTTAATATCCACACGTACAACCTCTCACTGCGTTTGGGTTCCTCGTTTTATTTTGTTTTATTCTCAAATAAGTTGGATTTTATGTTACCATAATGAGTTTATAACCATTGGAACAAATCAAGTATTGCACTATTTCGTCTAATGAAAATATTTGCGAGAGATGAGGTTGAAGAGGTGTGTGCATTCTGTAATTCAATTAGTGATAATTTGGAGCACCTCGCATTAGGTACATGCCGTGGTGCAGCTTGGCCTGCTTTTTGCACTGCGACAAGATTCACTCATGGAATCTCAGACTGTCATGTGCGTCCAATCAGTATTTGTCTCGAATAAATTAACAAAGTAATCAGAAAAAATGATCACTCTGGAGAGCACACACACATGCAGAGCCGAAAATTTTGAACGAAATCAAATTTTCGTGAAATTGGCGGTCAAATACACAGTTGCCATGTTGAAATCATCGCCTGATTTTACTCTCATAATTTTAAGGACGTGAATATTATATTATGAAAAAATACACGAGATCAGTCTAATTATTTATCTGTCTTTGATTTTGTAATCCGCGGGCGAAATTCAACCTCAAAAATGTCGATAAAAATTTCATCAATACTAAATCAAGATTCCTCGAGATTTGGTAACGTTGGCCACTTTTGCGATCGAGGAAGAAGAAGAAGATTATCAAAAACAAATGATGAGCTGTACATAATTCTGTGACATTATCAGTGAATTTGTTGTGTTCGTAATGATTAAAAGTACTTTCTCCTGATCATGTCCTAGTTTTTTAATTATAATTATCATGAAATTAATCTTAAGTTTGTGGTTTAGTAGTTTACTATGTTATTGTCTCTCCGAAGAAAATGTGGTGCTGAAATGTGGTAGTCCAGACTGTGACGGTAAGGAGGAAATTGGTTAACTTTACACTTTTATCTCTCAGTTTACGGTTCGCTGTTATTCTCGTCGTATCCTCTGGATTTTTCCACATGCCTTGATTGTCTTGGGTCCTTCTTGGATTTTAAATGCCTTTTATCATTAATCGCTGCGAGGTTTTAGTTGTGGTGTGGTGACATGGTTACGGCTAATCGTTTTCATCTCCGAATCATCCCGCACACTTCACTCATTTAAAAGCCTGCTTGTATCATTCATCAAACTGAGCATAAATACACGCTGAAGATAGTCAGGACGTCTTTTCGCCAAACTAGCCTGCTACTTGTGTTGGGAGGCTTTTTGATCTGAGCATGCATCAAGCATAAATTAACAGCCAAGCGTACGCTTAAATTATACCTAACTGGATCTTTATTTTTATAGAATCATCACTTGATAGGATAGAAATGTTGAAATCTAAGTCTTGGGCAGAAACATCCTAGGAAGAGATGGGTCAACAATTTTTTTATGGTTCTGCTGATACGCCCCCTGAATTACGAACATCTATTCGAGTCCTCAACAACTGAGACTCACTTCTTGATGCGTACAATAATCCCAAGTAAATGTAAAACTTGGTAGCTCTACACTTAAAGGTAGCAATTGAAATCCGTTACGCACATTGCTCGCCCGTCAGGGCAAGAACCCTAAAACATCAAAACCCTAAATTGCGATATCAATACCAGTGCATGGAAGAGTGCTCTGCAAATTTTTTAGCATCTAAAATTCCTCAAAATTTCCAAACCAGCCTCATTACAGTTTGTAATTTTGAAGTCAAAAATTTAAGTAGTTATGAGGAAAACGCCATTTGAAATTCTAGTCTGACATGTTCAAAACAGCTGTGCCAATAACTATCAGTGCATGAATGATCCCTTTTTAAATGGAGGTCCTTTTTCTTAAGCCGAGTTGCTTATAATGGCTTGTGGAGGAAAACAAGCACTAGGGCAAGAGATCTAGGAGATTACTATTCATTTTTTACCAAACACCTGTCCACTTACATTTTGTGGCATTTTTGGGAACTAGAGTAAATAATCGGACCTAAATGGAGTTCTTTAGCGGTCCGTGACTTTTATCAAAAAGCTATGTATCTATCATAGCGCCACTCAGATGTGAGTAAAGGGCTTCTTTTATCCGAACGGCAGAGGATCGCTACGGAACGCATCACTTTTTTATCCTGTTCCAGTAGAATGCTTGGACCGCTTTTCTGAGGTCGCTTGAACTGTCCCGAACCGCAAAGATCCCAATGCATCGCATTCCACGGATAAAAAAACTTGCATCATTTAAGTAGTCGATTGTTTTCTAATCAGACCATTGACGCATTTGTCACTATCCTATCATGACTTGACTGATTTTTTTGTATATTTAGCGGTAATTTCTGAAGCTAGAGCACATGTTCAGTACCATGGCAATGGAATCCATATCAAGAGAGGAGATACTGTTCAGATTCTGGGAAGGAGTAACAACAAATATTTGATCCAGGTAAGCATTCATCAGTATTATTCAGAATCTTAGGCAGCCTTGATCCTATTGAAACTTTCTTTTTTCAATTTTGAAGATCTAAATTAAAAAAATTTCATGGCCAACTTTTTTTTTAATGGCAGACTTATTTTCTCTTGACAGAATCATGAGGTTTTACCGCAGCGCATTTTTTGGCAGATGAAGGCCTCTTTCGCAGTAACTTAGACAGGCAACAACAATCAGCCTCCTGTGGTATAGTGGTTGTAGCGCTTGCTTTATGATAGGGAGGTCCTGGCTTCGATTCCTGGCCAGGTGACCTGAGTTCAATGGTCTCAAACAACGGTTATGTGAGGCTGGCTTGATCTGGCAAGGAAGAAGGTTAGGACTTTAGGGACAGTAAAACTCGGGACCGTCCCTCGTGGGATATTTGAAGTGGGGAAAAAAAACTTGAGATAAATTGGCAAGTTGTGTTGATGCCTATTTGATGTATTATCAGCAACTCAGTTTTGTGGGAGTCTTGAATTCAAGGGACCAAATGGGTAAAGGCATTTGGGAGCGCTTGACATTTTTAGTTATTGTTTCAAGTTCCTCGTATTTTTTTTTTTTGTCTCTATCAGTCTAGGTGCCGGTGTAAGTCGGTGGTGTTTTGTCAGAGAGGAATGCAGAACATTTCATACCTATCTGTTTTAAGCAGACTATCAAAGACTACAAAACAAAGAAAACTCGAAGACATTGTAACAATGTTGTGAGCTGCTCTATCGCAAATTTCACAGTGAATACACTAATTCTTAGGCCATTTCTTTGTAATTACAAGGGATTTTTGAGAGCAAATTGGACTACATCTTGCATTCCGAAGCTACTATTTCTAGCTCATCTGCAAAAGCTCATGTCTACACCAACCAAAAATAGTCGCTCCTTCTTCCAAAATGTTGTCCAATTGCAAATTATAAAGTTCAAAAGTTGTTTAATCAAGTACTAGTTAACTCCAATCACTGTTATCTATCAAGAAAGTACAAGTATTAATTTTTTTGTTTTAGCACAAAGGTCAGGTGGCGCTGTTATCCAACACGTTTTTTAAAGAAAGTCACATACGCATCATCAGTGATAACTTAGTCAATGCCAGTGATGATGTAATCTCTAAGTTTTTTGAATTGGACTCCAAAGCCCCCGCCAAAACACCGCCATTGGAAAATAAACTAACACAAGATGTGCCAGAAGCTGTTGAAGCTCCAAACGCAGAAGAAATCTCCTCCAGCAAAACCTACGAAGTCATTGATGGCACAACCCTTTTTCTATCGGATAGTGATGGAGATAATGCGACTAATGATCCAGTTGCCGACTTAACAACAGAAGCAGTTGTCGAGTCAGCCATTGATGTTTCCACAGAATCGCCAGCCTCTCAAGAAGTTCAAAAAGACTCAAGTACAGAAGCAACACAAACAGGTATCGATGCCAACACCAATAGAGAGCCTAATGCCACAACAGAAGATGTCAATCAAACGGATTCTGAAGAAATTTTGGATGATGAAGAGTCTGTAGATAGTACTGAGAATGAAGTTGATGTTGAGCTCGAGGTGGAAAATCTTCAGAAGAGAGTTGATGAAACAGGGAGCACCATGGAGTTAGTGAAAAACATAGTTTCATTTTTCAGTGAGCCGGAAGATAGTAGTGAGAACTCACTTGACTCCCCTGCCGCTTCTGATGGAGATCAAAGTCCAAAGAAAGAAGAAAAAAGTGAAGGAGAAAATGTCCTCGTACCAAGCACTGCGGAAGTTGTCAGTGGCTCAACAGAAAGCAGTGCGTATTTGGAACCCTCTCCCACAGTCTACCCTACTAAAACTGTACCACCCGTTCAAGCAACTGCAGAAGTAGCTCTCTCTGAAAATGCTGCTGTTGCCAATTCAGTCGAACCTTCTATCGCGCAAAAAGAGGATGAGTCTTTACAACCACAAGACCAAATAATCGCGGATGTGCCTAAAGCAGAAACGACAGATGATACCACTACTCCTGCAAATAATATAGAGCTGGCTACTTCGAATGATGCACCCAGCCAGGAAGAAATAGAGACAACGGAAGAGTCCATTGTCGAAAGTATTTCAGATTCAACACCACAAAGTGAAATAACATCAGATGAGGCAGCAAATGCAACTGCAACCGAATTAGATGATTTTTCTGGAAACCCTGTTCAAGTAGAACCGTCATTCTTACCAACAGTGCCCACTGTTGAACAGGCAACCGAAGTCACAGCAACAGAAAAACCACTCTCGTCTTTCAATGAGCAACCGGTTGCTGAGCAAGTTGATGGCACTGAGATAAATGAGCAACAGATCGTTGAATTGGAAAGTATTCTCGCACCGGCAGAACAGAGCAGTGCAGAGGAAACAAGCAGTGTCGAAGTCGACCAAAATGAATCATTGAGCGGTGAACCTCCTGCTGATGAAGCAGGGCAATCAGACCTGCAAGAACCGAAAAATGAAAATGTAGATATTGCATCACCTGACAGTTCAGGAAATAGCTCAGAAATTATGGAGCCTCCGGTCACATCAGACACACAACCTGAGAGCGTCAATCAAGTCGGGATTGACACGACAAACGTAACTGAAGATTTGCCGGAAAGAATTCCTGAACAGGTAACAGAAACTGAGCAATCTGAACAGGTGACAAGTTTTGCTTTTCATGAGGATGTTACTCCAAGCTATACTGGCACTGTTGAACACTCAATTGCGAACGAAACATCTGAAATCAGTCCTGAGCAGGCTGTAGGTGACGATTCTCTTATTGTCCCAATAGTGCCGTCACCAGAGACCAATGTCTCAGAGAGTCTTGAGGCAGAGACAACTGAAGAACTGGCTAAGAAGGGTGAGGTCGATGCTGCTCCATACCCAGAACAGCCAGTTTTAGGGGTTTATGATTCTCTCATTGTCGCAAAACCAGCTTATGAACCTGTAACTGATGATCCTAGTCTAGTGGCCAGTCCAACGGAGCCAAGCCAAAATATTCCTTCCGGTGAAAATGACTCCACACTTGATAAGTCCTCAGGGCCTTTCCAAGAATTGAAACCGGATGATAAAATCGGGACACCAGAAAATCTGTTCCCACCTAAAGAAGATGATGTTTTACCGCCAGCCAAAGATGTTGAAGAAACTGAAGGGCTGCAATCCTTCGGGATTTTCGGACAAGTTATGGACGTCTATCATTCATTATCCAGTATCAAAGAGAGTTATATGTTCGGCTTCATGTCCAAAGAAAAAGAAGAGGATCCTCAGCATGTGTGGAGAAGTGGAAAACATGATTCTCAAAGTACTTTTGGTAAGCAAAATTTCATCAAAATGACATCCCTCATTTACATCCATCATCGTTATCTAGTCATAAACTAATATGCCGTGCAGTAGAATTTTCTTTCAATGATAAGGGAATTTTGAAGCCTTAAAATGAAGAAGCCTAAAATATTTTCTTCAATTTGTGTGCTACGATTTAGTAATATTTTAAATAACTGGCAAAGTCTTTTTCTGTAAACATCCACATTCTACAATATAAACTAAATACCTATTTAACTTCAAGTACTTGTGGACATCTTGGATACAAATCATGATTCAGCAGAATTGTTGAAATCTCTAAACACTATTTTTTCGCATCTTATTTTCCATGTCAAGCATGTCCCTGTATTGGATTTTTTTATCCTGAAATTCTCCCAAAATATCCCAAAATATCTCTGAAAATATCCCAAGCAATGGTTTTTAAAGTCATAATATTGCACTGTGGGTACTTGGTGTTTGCCCCGCATGTGGTTTTGGTCACCTAACTGTGCACGGATGCATCCTACTTAATGAATGGGAAGTTTGTGCTTGTAAAAATTGATTTTGTGCGGTTTTTTGGAGGTTGTTTCCCTCTCTGTGCCAATAAAGTATTCTTAATGGCCCAGGATCAGCTTACTTTGCTGAAATACTTTGAAAGCATCAGAAACATTACTGAAAACTCAGCTGTTCTGAAACTATTGAAATTTTTCCCATTCAAAGACTATAGATGATTTGAGCGTGCTCTTATTTTTTCATCTTTTCCATATAAACTCTGGAATCACAAACTGTTTATTTCCTTATTGGAACCCAAAATCAATTCTTCAGCCTAAAATTATTTTACTTTTAAGGAATTGGAAACATTATTTGTATTTTTTCATTGTAGTGCCTCAATCCTTCCCCCCCTAATCTTCACTAATCACTTTTTCCTTCTAATCGCAGATGACACGTGCAAAGTAGAAGATCTGAACTGCCCCTCATTAAAACAATTAGATCATCCCTCTTCTCCTGCAATGGGTGCTGCCTCAAGTGAAATATACTTTGAGGTGAGTAAAATCGGGGTTTCTGACCATTTGGAAAGTCAGGAAATTTTACAAGCAGCGTTTCAGCTCAGAAACTTCATAGAGAGAGCATAAGCAACATTCGACTGTCAATTTCCATAAGTAGAATATCCAGAAGTGGAAACTTCATCCACAGTTTAACAGAAGTCGGTGTAATTCAAAGGGAAAAAAAACTACATCAAAGTTTGGTTCGAAGGTCAGAAAAAAGTTAGGAAAATCAGTAATTTTGGAGTCAAGGAAAAGTAAATAAGTAAGTCAAAGAATTGGTAAATAAAGAAATCGTGGAGATCCTGAAAATTCACTTATCTCCAATTAAAAAAATTGTTCCCAATCCTAGCGTTTATATTTTTTTTAACATCAAATTCATACAGTCTGGGACGCACAAAATGAAGTTTACTTTTGTAACTGGCCCAAAAAACTAATATTTGTTGTTTATTCCCAAGACCAAACTATGGAAGCATGATTCTATGAACTGTAAAACTTATTCATCACCAGAAGTATCTCCTTGTCTCATATCTACAATTCTGTTTTCAGTCTCTCTTACAACCGCTGCTAGGCTCAACATGTTTGAAAGCACAAGGCCTTGTCTTTTTCCTCACAACTGCTGTCGTTTTGGTTGCTACTTTCTTCTTTTACCTTTACTTTGAGGTAAGTTCCTATTTGTTTTTGTTTTGGTACTTATACCTAGTATACTGCCTTAGTAATTGTGTCGACCTTGGACTGATACATGTATCTGGTTCCGTGAATGCTGGATGGCATAATCATATGGTAGGCCAACTGCGACCTTTGTAGAGCCTGTAAAAAAATTACTGATGCTTCGGAATCATTTAGGCATCAATGATATTTGTATGAATCCTTGTGGTTCTACGTATCAAATAATTAAAATCAATAGACTGCATTATTTCATTTCTATGTTTTACTTTAATTATACATGGCATAAAAAGCAAATCACTTCAGCAGTTTAACTGATTCCGCAAATGTGAATATAATTTTTCTGGGCTATTTAAAATGCTGCTGCTGTGTTAGTGTAAGTCCAAAGATTGATACATATAAATCCACGGAGGCTTTAAGTAGATTACTTTCATAAAATTTTGGTTAAAGAGGAAATGGAACTGATGAGATCCTCTTGATATTGAAAGTATTAATCACTCACTTTTTGCATTTTGTGAGGTATGCAGTGGTGAAGGGAAAGCAAAAGATTGAAGTTCGCCAGGAATTTTTTGAGGTCTATAAACTTTGAATAGACAACCATTGCCTCACCTCAATATCTCATAATGGAAATCATCACAAATTGTGGAAAATTGCTCTAGAAAGAACTAAAAAGTCCTCTGTGTCTACTGATTGCTCGCCTTTAATTTCAGAAACGTTCCAGAGATAATAGTTCATTCAAAAAGATCGACTCCTTGGAAAAGAAATTGTTCATCGCTGAAAAAGAGGTCTTGGAATTGACAAACAAATTATCTAACAGTTCAGTAAGTGCACAGTTTGTCTCTCTAATCGGTTCTAGGGCTAGAATAATTGACATAAAGTAATTTTTTCTAACTAAAATCAATGATTTACGGTGTTATCCAAGTCAGTTATGGTCAGAATTAGGTGGTAATTTTTGCACTCCAAGCAGGGATAGAAAATGAAATTTCAAAAGGCTCGAAAAATTTTTACAACATTTGAAATTCATTAATTTTTCTCGAAATCATCAATTGAACCTTTGGAGATCCAGAAGCGTTTCAAATGGTCTTCCTGTTGATGCGGCAGTATTATGCTACCCTACTGAAGTCTGAGGTGCTGTACTTGAAGGGGGACGAGTTTAGAGAGGAAAGCCTCAGTCTAACCTCTACACCAAACGAAAACATGTGCAACGAGTGAATGTTTTAGGCTTGGGGTGAAAAAGTTCAAATCTAGAATCACTGTTTTTGGCGTCTCTTGGCTGTCTGAATGCATCCTCAAAAGTTTCAAAAAATTTTGTGAAATTTCATGCATGAAAGTTCTTGCATGAAATTCCGTGTGAATAAATTTCATGAAATTTTCCATCTCTGACTCCAAGAAACTCGGGGCTATCTGGGTCAAATACAGTAAGATTTGAGTAAATGAAATAACAGGGTCAATAGACAGACCAAGTTTATCGGGAAAAAACCCAGTTGCTTTAAGATTAAACCAAGATAGGAGGACTAAAGTATTATTCCCTCATAAAGCTCAATGTTAAAGATGAAGTTTAAAGCTTATTTTTACATTCAATTAGTTTCTTCTCAACTTTTAATGAGAGAAAATAGACTGAGAGAAATAAACTTTTTCTCAATCATTTTTTTTTCTTTCAAAATGTAGCTTGGTTCCTTTCTGTTTTCAAATCTTAATGGTATATCTCATTGAGAATTTTTTAAAACTTTGCATTGAGTTGAACTTTTCTCCTGCAATAAAGAAGATCTTTTAATTCGGTAAAAGTCTCTATTATTAGTAAGTTTGAAATCCATAATTTGCTGTGATCATTTGATTTTTTTGCTTTTATGCAATTTCTAGTTTCTGTGAATTCAAGTTACACTCCTTTTCACCTGCCAAAAATCAAAGTAAATTGCATTCTCAACTAAGTTCGCTTTGACTTGCCTCGAGGCTTCTGTGGGCAGTGTTTCAACTAATTGCCTCTCCGAGACATGGCAATGGGTTAAAATTCAACTTTTAAACCAATTCAAAATCCAATTTTGAAGTTCTTTCTCTTGCTTATGCATCAAATATTGACATCTGCGGAGCGTAGTAGTGCTTTGAAGTATCAAATAATTTTGATAATGGCTCGCATATGAATACCTGCACACTCTCATCCTTATGTTTTACATACGTATCTTAAAGTTTCATAGCTTTATACCAATGTCATATATGTTGATGTTTGTCCCCTTTTTACGGATGTATGCCTTAATTGTTATTTATTCCTGCTCTCAGGGAAGTGGTCCATCTGATTCAGGTATTGCAGTAAACTCAACGCACATCACGGAGTTAGAGGTAAATTTCTTTGCTCTTAATGTGTATGCTTTATCATTGTTGTCTCCTTTGTTCATTTGCAATTGACATAGGTTCTTTCCTATCAAGAGAAACAATTCAGAAGGGAAGATAAAAAATAAAAAAAATTTCTATTCCACTTTTCCTAATAGAGAACAATTTAAAAGAAATATTAAACATTTTCAATAGTGAACCAATCGTTTGTGGCCATGCTTTATATTCTAGTATCTTTTACATATGTAGAAGACAATTTTTTAACTTTATCACAATGTACAAGTTAAACATTCTTAAGTGAGGTTTTCGGTTTGTAAAATTTGTGTACTGTTTTCAGAACATTCTCATTACTCGTGATCAGATCTTTGAAAACACATCTTATTTTTGAAGGTTTGAGTTTTTAATAAGCAGTTCTATGCAAGTTTTTCTGAAAAAATAAAAAATTGGCTTTTTGAGGAAAATTTTGTATTATGTTTACAAGAGTAGGGTTAGTAATGCTTTCATAGGCAGGTGCATCACTCGGCGTAAAGTATATCCATCTTGGAGAGCGTTCAAGGATTTGGGATAGAAACCTCCTTTCAACTTTTGAACTTCATTTTATCACCTTTTTTTCTTCCTTTTTTGCCTGATAACTCCTGTTTTTTGTTGTCACAAAACAAAAGAATTATCAGGCGAAAACGAGGAGGAAAAAGTTTATGAACACGAACCAGAACATACTTCATTTTATCATAACTCTGTTCTTTTTCCTGCTTTTAGAGTTAAAGAGTTGATTTTAAATTTTTCAGCTTCACTCAGCAGCAATGATGACCCTATTTTAAATAGTTACACAACTAAACCTAATTGATTTGGTTTACTTTTTTGTCATTATCAGCTCCTTTTGTTCTCTTTTAAAGAAATTCTGGAAGTCTTTCACCCAGGTTTTATCCTCAACATCTTAACGCATCGTTTTTTTTTTCTGTTAGGCTGAACGTGAGGAGTTGCTAGAAAAACTTTTAGTTCTGGAAAATGAATCGGCTGTGAAGAGTGGTTTGGTGAAAGATTTGGAGAGGAGATTGCAAGAAGCTCTCTCAATGGCGCAGAACACGGAAATGATCTTCAAGACGGTAGATCAGTTACAGCAAAGAATCGAGTTGCAACAGAGGAGTATAAGTGAGATGCATGCTCAACTGAAAAACAAAGATAAAACGGTGAGAATCAATCCTAAATTTACAACAACTGTTAATTAATTTGGATCTTCCCAATATGAGGCATTTGCTTGTGTGCTGCCCGGCAATTTTTGACGGCGACTCTGTTACCTGCTCGAAAACGCTCCGCATATTCGGCAGTCAAAAACCATTTTTTAATTTTCATCATATAGTAATTTCCTTCTACTAAACTAGGCAATCCTACTCACTCAAGACTACCAAGGCAATGTCACAGACAAATAGTGAAATCAGGCATTTTGTCAAATGCCTAGGCAGATGTTTAAATTTTGATGGTCTATAAAATTTTGTGAATTTATGGCGAAGAGCTTGCGAGTTTTCAATATTTTTGGAAAAATAACTCATCAAACCTACGAACTCCTCTTGTCTCTTCCTCTTTAATTGCCTCTCATATTTTTAAATGTTGAAATTGTAAAAATTATGTATTTTATAACATGCTGAAAATTTCCAGGTAAGTGTCTGTGCAGGAGCTAAAAATGGCTTAAATATTATTGTGTGTTGCAAATTTTTACTAAGAATTTATTCTTACAGGAGAAATTAATTATTTCTCTAAAATTAGGAAAATGCGCAGAATTTCAATCTAAGTTAGATTATTTGACTATTTGCCTAGGCATTTGACAAAATGCCTAGTTTTACTATTTGCCTGCGATAGCAACAAGCATATTGCTCATCTTCAATGTCCCTAAAAACCAATCCTGGCAATTATGAACATAATCGTAATTTTTTGGCCAAAGTTAAAACTTGCTAGCCTACATTTTCTAAATCTTTGAGTGAAAATTACTAGATGTGCTTTAATGTGACAGCCAACAAAGTTTAGAATCCCATTAATTAATTTTACATAATCAAATGGAAATGCTGATAATCACAGAGTATTATCGAGGTCATGAAACCAAATGTGTTGAGTATTTACACTCATATGAATACCAGAATGTAAATTATGTTTGTTTTTATTAATTTTTTGTGAATCATTTTTGCAGATCGAAGGACTTGAAGAATCATTAGAAAAAGCTGCAGTAATTAAGGTTCAGCTCGAAGATATGCTTGCTGCTTTGAAGAAAGAAAATGAGGCCCTGTGTATTGAATCGTCAGAAAAGATCATTCACTTGAACTCCGAACTGGATCAGGTAAATATATTTTATTTTCGTTCAGAGGCAATTCGGAATAAAAGAGGTTGTTTGACATGTTTTAAAACTAAGTGTTATTATAACAATAAACCAGGGAAAATAGTTTTTTTTTCTTTTGTAAGAGAAGGATTTAATCAGTGTTCTGAGACAAAATGTTTTAGAAACCCTGCAATGCTATCTTCCCTATGGTATAAAAGTTACTCTCAGAAGTCGAAGTCAGCACTCAAATTCTCTCAATGATGAATGATTACCAAAGAGTTGCGCAATAGGTTTAGTGAACGTAACATAATTTGCCAAAACTCTGACTCTGAATTTAACGTTTGGATCACCCGTTTACATTATTTAGACTTAACGCAGGGTCTCTAACAGTGTTCAAAACTCACCTTTGAGTTTTAGGAGCCATGTGGCGCATCAAGCCCGATTTTTGGCTTGGCCCGCGTTGGCGCCTGTGAGTTTCGAACACTTGTCTCTAAAATATATTGCCTCTAGTGGCATGAAATGCAAATTGAGGATAAGAATAACAAATTCCGACTTTTGTTGTAATAATAAATCAGAAGTAAATTTTTGTCTGCGAGTAGTTTTGGTAAAATAATTCATTGAAGTAATTAAAATGAATAAATATCAGTAGAATCATCAGGATAAGCCAGTTACTTCAGGGTTTTATTAATGTCAGACAGCAGTTACAAGAATACCTGTCCCTTCTAAATAAAGAAGCAAATCAAGTGATTTAAAATTATAAAGATGAACTTCAAGTTTGCTATTTTTTCTCAAACAGCTTTAATACTTTTATCACCTTTAAGCTTACCTATAATTCAAAGACTACATCCGTTTCTAGGTAAAATTCTAGTCATTATTTGCAAGATTTTTGTGGATTTCAAACAGCTGAAAGGTTTTCAGGTTAAAAATGAACTGAAGTTACAAGCGAAAGAGCTATAATAAAGTTCTCAGAATCGACTAAAGTTAAAGGAAAAAACGAACAATAATTATCATAATTACTATAAATGTAAAAAACCCAAGAAAATCTTTAATTATAAAATAAGGACAAAGAAATATCATAAAACCCTAATAACCCTAAAGGATTATTAGATCTAAATATGTGAAGAAAAACTATTGTCCCCACTGAATGAAGTAGCTCACCAAATCATTCAACTCACTGTTGTTTAATCATGCATCTTTTTTTGTCTTGTAGGTGAAGAGTGAAAAGACTCTGGAAAGTACAAAACTGAAAGCAGAAATTGATAGCTTGAAGCTCTCACTAGAGCAAGCTCGTTCATCGCTCGATGTGGCCGAAGCAAGCATCGTCGAATTGAAAGCAATCATCAGTGATGATGCCAAAAATTCTGATAGTCTTGGTGATGTGTTCAACGGATCAGAGTTGAAAGCAAAGCTGGCTGTTGCTGAGCTGAACGTAGAAAAATTAAAGGATCGTCTGCAAGAAGAGTCGGGAGCCAGACAATTTTTAGAAGGTAAATTTTGTAAACTTTATTCTCAATCTTTTCAGCCCACGCCATCTTTGAGCTTGGAAGTAGATTCTACCTTTTACATGTTCTATTGTCGCATCTATCTCAGAATTTTTGTTGATCAGTATCACAAGTACAGAAATCAAGTTGTCAATGGTTTCAAATTTTTCCGATACCTCTCGATTTAGAAAACTAGTAGTGTCTTAGATTATTTGCATTAATAAGGTGCTGATTCAGTCAATTTAGTCATGTTCAATTGTAAGATGCAGGAGCAAACGCAAGTTTTACATGCGCCGAGAACAATGCATAGCACATACTTCACCTGCCACTATGCCAACAGAAACCTCCCAAAACGCAGTATTACAAACCAATCTTCTCACTAAAAATGATAATTTATTCTAAAAATTTTATCAAATCATTTTGAGTGAGCAATTTTCATGCCTCGATATCCGAATTCAAACCATTGTATCATTTCTAGTTATCGCAAATCAGTTTTTGTGTCTTCTTTAAAGTTGACTTTTGGTACTTTTAATATCCTTCCTGGAATGGAACAATCTTTTTTTCAAGAATCATTTTAATCCTGTGTTTTCCATGTATTTCAGAGCATCTGACATCAGTCAAAGAAGCATTGGAAAAATTGAAGATTACAAACAGTGAATTAGAGAAAGAAAAGCAAGAAGCAGAAAATGCAGTGAAAGTCCTTAAAGACTATTTCCGGAAACAAGAAGAAGAACTGAAAAAGTAAGTAATAAATACCGACAGATTCTCAGATCAGTCAGAATTATCAGTCTAATATCTAACTGCAGTGTGTCTTCAGGTCAGGAAAACCAGGAATAGTCAGGAAATTCCATACGGTCAGGGAAAAGTGAGGGAACCTTTTGAAAAACATTTGATATTTTAAATGTCAAAAAACATCCTTGCCGCCCAAACGATCAAACTGGGCCTCAATCTCATTCAGGGCTCAAAGCTGTATGTTACACTTGGAATCTTGAAGAGAAAAATAAGTGTCAATAAGGAATTGCAATTGTAGTCACTGTAATGATTAATACCTTAAAAAATAGGTTAATGTTTGTCTCTGTCATTAGCAGTAGAATCAATGCCAATCATAATCAGTTCTACGCATGCAAATAATTGTCGAAATGAAAAGTCAGGGAATTTCAATCATTTTTGCCGGGGGAAATCTTGAAAAGTCCGGGCATTTTTTCTTTCAAGTCTTTAGACACTTTGTAGTTGTGGCCAAAAAAAGACTCAACATAAAATTATTGGCGTATTCTAAGTATTCTTGATCTATTCCCACCAAAAAAGATGATGGAATCTGTATCAATTTTCAACTCTCTGTGTTTGGAGTCCTTGCAGCTAAAGAATCAGATCAAAATTCATCAAAGTAATACTGGGCTTTTCTTCAGCGCTCTAATAAATAAATGAAAAATTAACGATGAATCTTTTCTTCCTTCTTTTTTCAGAGAAATTGAAGAAAAGTCAGCCTTCCAGTTGCAGAAAGATGAGGAGACACTTTTCATCAAAATGAAAACCCTCGAAGAAGAGAAAGGTTCTTTGAAGTAAGTACATCTTTATCACATTGTTTTGAATGTGGAAGGGAAGCAAATAACATTCTTTTGCCATCCTTTGAACTTTGTATGATAATATAAATCCAATCAATGATAAATATATTGTTGTAATTACATACTTTAAAATTGTTTGCTTCCAATTAGTTAAGAATCTATATTTTTGTATTTGCACTCACCCCTCATATTTTCTGTAAAGACATTAATAGCCTAAGATGCTGAATGTCTCTAAAAAAATGAACTAACTAACTAAAGTAAAGAAAAAAATGTGTACCTCAGATTGTGGCATTGTATGTGTACAATGCCACAATCAGATGTACATTTTGTTTTGTTCATGTATAATTGGAGATTGTCAAAGGTTGCAATTGAGATATGTACGTATTTATCAAATTTAGCCATCAATGTTGGGTTTTTCCGGATAAGTATATTTGTACATTCTTGACTCATACATGCCAAGAAAACTTTATAATCACACTCCTCCTGTAACTCAGTTTCTCTCAACTTTATTTGTAATGTTTTTCTAGAGAGCAGATAGAAGAGATGAAGCGAGAAATCCTGGAGCAAGAAAATTTGTTCAAAAGAGAAAAAGTTCAGTTGGAAAAAAAAGCTGATGACAACTGGGTAAGATCCATCTTTTTCATTTCTGATATATTTTTACTTCTGTCGAAGTTTTGCTTCTTAGAAACTTCTCAACTTAAACCAAAGCTTCATGCTTCAGTATTCATTGACCTAATAACTTTGGCATATTTAACTGTCAGCAGGACCAAGAACTCAAGTCCACAAAAACTCAAAAGAAAATTATTGATACCAGGGAAATCTTCAACAGATATTGGGGGAGGGGGGGGGAGGTACCCAAAAACATCATGCTAAACAGAAGTAATGGCAGCAATTTTACAGTTCAGATGACGTAGTTTGAAGAAAAAGGTATCTCAAATGGAACAACAGATTAAAAATTGAACATCTGAAAAGAATGTTTCCTAATCAAAATTTTATGCGCAACGTATTGAACATATGGAAAACTCTCAATATCAATTAAGTAGTGAAAAATCAATATTGGTAGTGTACATTGTAAGCAGTAAATTCAATATTTCTAACATGTTGTTTTTAATGTCCTTTTAACCTCATCATATAGCTGTTGTCTCGACAAATCAATCGGAAACTTCAAGATGCTAAACAAGAAGCAGCTGTTCTGCGTAGTCGATTAACAAATGTCGAAAAACTGCTCACAGAAAAGAATGAGAATGACCCAAATAACGAACGTAAGTTTCCAACAAAATAATTTTTCCTCTATTCGATAGACCCATCTCTTTATAAATATGTGTATAAGCCGCTTTTACAGCTCTTTTAAAATATAACTGCCTTAATTAATGATATAATCATTGGAAAGTGCAGAGTCATTGATTCGTCCTATTATTTATTATCAGCAGCGCTTTTACATAAAGTGCTTGAGAGCTGTAACACTTAAACTATATGGCTATATGCTACTGCCATGTTTAACAAAAAAGGCATGCCTCCAGTGGAATTCCTAAGCACATGTGCTCTTTTTCTTAAGCTCGGTAGTCTTTTAAGTTTCTCGGTTACTGACTGTCAAGAATTTGAATTTTGCAAAGGCCATCTTCTGAAAGTATTTCTGTTCCTTTCACAATTTTTTTCTCATCAAGTGAAATGTTTATTTTACTAGGGCAACGTTTTTTTCTTTTCTCATTTTTTCTTTTTTTCAAATTTTCTTTTCTCATGCCCTTTTAAACAATGTATTACAAGGGGGATCTTTTCATTAGAAATCAAATTTGGGGTCCACTAACTTCCTAAGGGATCCCTCTTGAAAATTTTAGGGGACCAAAACATACCTATTTTCGAATTAGGAACATACATCAATCAAGTGAAAAGTTAGAGGAGGAGACTTTTCAGACACCCTGCATGCACATGAGGAACGCTTTTGGGGTGAAAAATTTGAATGTACGCTGAAGTATCAGCTGAAAAATGAAAAAGAAATTGATATTTACATCTGCAACTCAGGAAAGTTACATAGTTTTTCCCCCAAAAAAATCCGTGTGAAGTGGGTGAAAATTTCAGTTTTTCATGAGGAAATGAGCTCCCTAAAAGCAGGGAAAATCATGGATGAGCATGGTCAAGAATTCTAGACACAATGCTCCAAAACGCAAGGACGGGTGCTTTTCAGATTAATATTTAATGATCCTGTCATTTTATTTCTGTAATCAAAGAACTCAAAATTGGTATTCCATAACTTCAAATCTACCTTTTTTAGATAAAGAAAATTAAATACCCACATAGAAGATCATAAAAAGGTATTTCTTATTGGAAAAGTTTTGCGTTTTTCCAGATAGGTTTAGAGAACACCAATAGCAAAATAGGATTTTCACCTGGTTCCATCCTTTTTAATTTTTGTTTTACTGTTATTATAGTTTAATACCTGACTTTGGGAAAACCCAAAAGTAACTTTGTGCGAATTATATTTATTCTTACAGAGTCAGTAACAAACGGCGAAGGAATGTCGCAGAACAACATATCTAGTCCGTCCATGTTACTTAACTTCCCCAACACAGCCAACTCCTCCTTTGCAAAGTATAATAGTTCCGACTTAATCCTTCCCCCTCCGTTGGGAATGCCGGGCAATGAGTTTATCCCTCCGCCCCCTATTAACTTTCCTGACCTGCGCCTTCCACCACTCGGTAGCGTTGGGCGAATACCCTCCCCACCGAGTGGGATGTCTCCTCCACTATCCTTAGAAACAAATTTTGGGATCAACTTCTCCCCTCCACCTCCTATGCCTCCGCAATATTATTATTATCATCGGAGTGACTCACCAAGCGATTATGACGATAGTAGTTATTCAAAAGGAGAGAACTATCGTGATTCTCCGATGAACTTGGAACGCAGCGGTTCGTCAAAAGCAAAGTCGGATCCGATGAGAAAACCACCCATGGATCAGGCTGATTCGTACCCTTCTAGCAATCCCTCGCACCCCTCACCTCTGAAACCTGTAGCTAGAAATCCAACTTCGTCTGGTCAAAAAGGTGAACTTTTTTTTAATATTATGCAACCTTCGAGTTATTACATGTCTGCTTTATTTTCAAAACAGGACTAAAGGCAAATTTTCCTCTCTTAGCAAAACGATTCAGTGCTTTTCTATTGGATCAGTCAAATTTTGAAACAACCTTAATTTTGAAAATTTGGTTGTTAATGCTTCTTTCGGTAACTTGGCAGTCTTACCCTTAGTAGAAGTCACACATGCCCACACGGTCTGATGACGACACTTCAATATATTTTTACGAAAGAAACAAGGTTTTTTTTAAATGCTCTCGTTACAGTGCTCACTAATTATTCTTTAGTCCCGTTTTTTGCATATGTTCATATTTCATTTGTGTCAAATTTGAAATGGCCACTTCGCAACTTAAATATTTATATTTTTGGACTCATCACTTGTGCTCGTCTAATCAGTAGTTCATTGAAACTTTTTTAGCATGCTCTCAAATGGAACGGAATCTCATTCTGTGAGAAGATTTTTTGTCACTGCAAAAGCTCTTTCAGTGGAACTTGTCTTACGTTTACCAGCCTGTATAAGGTATATAAAAACCTTTGGCGTCGGTTTTTTAACAACCCTGTGAGATGATATCTAAAAATTGCATTTATTTATTCAGTTCAGCTGAAATTTTTTTATCAGCTATTGCTAAAAAAATTCAAAATATTGGAGGGTACTTTCTTATTCGCCTAGAAGACAATATTCAATGAATGGGGTCCTTTAGACTTTCTGTTTTATCTTTGAGAGTTTTGCAGTGATAAACAGCCGCTTGTTTTACCTCATGAGTGTGTGTTAAGTAATTTTTGGTTTTTTTAATGTTCACTTGCCTCCTGTACAGACCGCGACAGTTATAACGCGCTGCGACAGTTTTGGAGTGCCAAGGAATCACCCAATGCATGTCTATAAGGTTTTGATTTTTGTCTGATAATTTTTTTTTGTCGTTGCCTTGACCTCTTTTGAATTTTTGCTGCACTCACAAGGGTTTGAATCCCGCACATCCTCTATCACAGATTAGCCTCAGATTTGTCAGTTGTAGATTAATTAACCTGCATACTTGTAGTAAGAATTAATTGTTCTTCAATTTTTTATTCAGTTATGTCCTATGTGTTGGAGCTTAGTCCAGCACTTAGAATACATTCCAAACGAGTCAATTAACTTTCAAAGAGACGTGGTCTTGATTTTTGTATTTTGTTGGTTCCCTGCTTTATTTATCTGCTAGAGCTCATGACTGATTTTGATGGGTTAAAATGAGATTATTTGATCTGAGAGAGGATTTTTTAGAGTTTCCTCTCTTCTACGGGCCTCGGTATGAATGATATAAAATGAATTTATTTTCAAACGTTGGTTTACACTTTTTGTTTCCTGGTTCATCTATCAAATTTAGGATCTGCGTAAGCTCATAACTGATGTAGAAAAGTTCTAGTCGAATGATATTAATGAAAGAGACTTATCTTTGAGGCTCTCTATCTTCAGAGGGTGTTGACTCAATTGATGGGACATTAATGTAACACTATTGAAGGCTAGATTTAATGATTTTTAAAAATGTTTGTTATATTTTCGGTTTCTTGGGGTTTTGAAAAGTTTTTTTAACTTACTAATACCGAAAAAAATGCATGTTCCTTTCAGAATTTCTTCACGTTTACCACTATAAATATTCCCTTCAGCTCAGATACTTTTTTAACATTAAATTTAATTGTAAATTATCTCTGAAGTAGTTGAATTTTAAGAACATTTTAATTTTTTATTTAAAAATTTCATTTCTGGCCTTAAGTCTGCCTTCACTGTTTTTGCCGGTAATCACACCAAAATGCCACTTAACAGACATGAAGAAGTAGAACTTTTCATGTGAGGTGGGGCAGAAAAATACCGACAAATGTTTAGTTGTCAAAGGTAAATATTGATTAACACGATATTTTATTTTTCCAGGTTGGTCATCATCTGGACAATCAAACAAACCTGTAGAAAAAAATTCCCGGAAACCTGGGAGATAGTGAAGATAGAACATTAGATAGCCGCCTTTTTATGTTTGGTACTTGAAGTATTCCGTTGCTAATGAGATGGCAGAATTTCCATCTGCCTCCCCAGTTTATATGTGTTGGTCTTTAATCAATCAAGCAGAACATAGTCGTATCAACATTTTTTACAGTTAATTATTTTTTTTTTTTAAAAAAAAATAAAAAATCATTGTAAGTATAAGAAAAAGAATATCCGTTTGCTAGTCACATTGGGGACCCTTCCTTGTTATTTATTTATCTTAATTGTATTCAAATTCATCCATTCTTTCTGGGAAAGGAAGGATGCCCTCTTTGAAGTGCTGCATTACTTTGTTTATTCATTTTTTATACTTTTTTTCCAATTTGTTTTTTGTTTATTTATTTTTTTATTTTTTAAATCAGCATCAATAAGATTAACTGTTCTACGTCTTGTATTGTCTTATAAGAAATTCTTCAATGCTGACTGATGCATGTTTATCACAAGTTTGGAAGAGAAAGTCGATTGTTTCTGTCCGTTTATTGGGCTGGCTAACAATAAATTAAAAGATGAGAGATCGGAAGTGCGATTCAAAAAAAAGAAACAAATGGTGAGCTTGAAATCGTCACTGCCATAGCTTTTTAGATCAGTCAAGAACATTTTACCAGACCCCTTTTCATGCCTCCAATCAGAGGCTAAAAACTTACCAAGTAAATGTCATTGATTACAAATTCACCCTAAACTGTTCTCTTCCAGGTGTGATTCCAAAGATTTAATCATGAATTTCAGTAAAATGGACCTGAGATAGCCCTTTTTTAGACAACCTTTATTGAGAGTAATTAAACGGTCATGGGCGAAAGTAAAGGGCGCACCAAGTTTAAAAAGATTCAACATCTAAATAGAAAATAAAAAATGTATCCAAAGTTCCTGCAAATTTTTAAAAAGTTTGCAAAACAAAGTCTACTTCATAAACTCACTTAATTACCTAAGGTAATTTTTTCATGAAAGGAAATACTATCAAAATATTCCTATGATTATTATCAAACAGTCATGGACTGTTTAAAAGTTTGTATCGTGAGACAGTTTATTTTCTACCAATAACAGACAGGAAGTGATTGCGAATATCCAGTGATGAGGCAATAAAGTTTTACAAGCGTTCCATTCGGAACTGTAATTGAGGCGTTAGATGCGACGAGGACTCTTTTCTAAGGACCAGATTGAAAGAATTAGGAATGGAAAGTTTAAACATACGATTGACTCTTGGTGAAAGAGCTGAGTGATTTTACTCAGTGGTGTGCAGCCCTTTTAAATTTTTCACTGTTTTAATTTATTTTACGATTTTGAGTATCTTTCAGAACACCAAGAATTAGCTGGCATTTTACGATTTACAAGCCTAAGAGCACTTAAAGAGCGTGATGGGCTTGCATCCAACGCCTCAACTTATCTTTTTCTGCTAGATTTCTAGCATCAATTTTCTTTTTAGCAATGTTATTACTGTGGATTAAGTTAACTAAGACAGTTTGTTTGATGTTTTATTTTCAATGACTAGTTATGTTCCAATTTTATTTTGCTCATAGGTAGCAGATATTTAATATTCTGTTTCTGCTGAGAGATTTATTGTTTCATTTACCCTGTGTGCCACCTGTTTTTTCTGCATAGAAAATTATTTTGAAGACAATGTAGAAGAACCGACCTTGCCACTAGAAATAAGGAGAAACCAGTGGCTTGTTTGTTAGTTAGTTGATTTTGTTGGTTATTGATTAGGGAGTGTTTAAGTAACATGCTAAAATACAGCGTATCGTAACGATCCATTTTAACAAATTGTGTATCATTTGGGGGAGCAAATTATTTTGGCGCCACCCTCTGAAAGAAGTGGGTGATAATAGAGGTTAAGGTTTGCCCAGCACCCCTAAGTTCCAGGGGTTTTAGGATAGGTTTATGTTGCTGTTTAAAGAGGAAAGGGGGGTTGAAAAAACTAGGGAATGTGATGAAAATGACAAGATGAAGCATCTATGTGTAATTTGGAACGTTACTGTGTAATAAAATGTAGAAACCTAATTTTTAAACACTCTCTTATTGCGTAACACTTTGTTATAAGATACTTCGGGTTTCACGAGATTATTTAATTTTAATCGGAGGTACTTAAATGAAAGTAAGTATCCAGGTGTTAAGTTTATCGGATTGAATGTTAAGTCAAGGAGACTACATTTTGACCACTGCAACTGGATTTCTTTTTCAAAATATTGTATATACATAGTCAAATTCAAATTATTATTCTTTGATCTTTGTACAAATCTGGAGTGTTCAAGGCCCAATATAAAATGCTGTTCATTAATTTTCTGAGTCGTAAATTTTCAACAAATTATCATTCAATCACAGGCTGATCCCTCAAAAAATTTGAGGAAAGGCACAAACTTCTCTTAAATAACGGTGTTTTATATTGCTAGTTGAAAATCTTCACACCTGAAAAAGGGATGATAGTTTAAAGCAAATAATTTTAGGCGATAAAATAACCGTTTCCACCCTCTGCTTCATACTTATATGGCTCCTTTCCTCGAAAATTATTTTTCTTAAAATGTTTTCTTTCACCTGTATGAAGTCTCGTTGTGGAATATTGAAGCTGTCTACCTTGAACATCTCTGATTTGTTCCCGGAAAGTTTCTCTGTTATCAAATTTTGGATTTTACAAATCAAATTATCTACACTCTCAATTAGCGCATTTATTTAATGTCATTATTTTGTTTTTGACGAGGCGAAACGAGTCCCCGTAGAAGAATTTGACTCCAAATCGGAGCCTCGATTTTGCTTCATTTCGCTCTAAGCTGGTCTCCTTTCTTCTCTTATAAATAATTTAATTTTACCAAACCCCCTGTCATCATTGTTTGATGTATTTTTAATTTGTACAAACTCATCGTTATGTAAATAAAATTCTTATTTTCAGTTGAAAGGAAAGACTTTGACTTTTTTGTACGCTGTTCTCAGAACATGGTTCTCTTTCGATAATCCTTACTCAAGATGCTGAGTGGTCATGATAATTATGAAGTTGTAGTAAATAGGTTAACTTGTAGAATGTAATAATATCCAACCCTCCTAAATATGCCTGCATCTACTCCCCCATTCTTAATGGCCTTTGGGGTCTGTGGCTTTGTAGCCCTAATTTAATTTTTGAATTACTGGTACCTGCTGGGTATTTCAATGCCATGAAAATGGATCAATTTTTGCAACAGAATATTGCGACTATCTCTTAAATAGTTGGTCGTAGAGCAAAATCGACGAAATTTTCAAGCTCCTTGAACGGCTTGTGAACTTTTTAGCACCCCCCATAGACTCGTGGAATTGGAGGCCCTCTGGGCTCAATATTAATTTTCAAAATTTTGGTGCTGGTCGATTTTTCATCAAGATGAAAATGGATCGATTCTTGCAACAAAAAATTGCTACTATCTTCTACACAGTTGATTGTAGAAAGAAACAGACAAAATTTTCCAGCTTTGCAATGCTAAAGTGGTACACTAAATTATGATTTGTCATTTAAACAAACTTCCTTATTTTTTGCATACCTTGAAAATTTAACTGTTCAAACTCGATTAAGGAACATTCGTAAATGGTAGATGCTAAATCTTAAAGCAATTTTCAAGCTTAAACAACCTTTTTACTCTTTTCCCTAGGAAAAAGTGGTCAGGAAGTTCAATAGACACTTAATAAAATACATTAAAATAAATTTATTTATTAAGGAACACCCGCAAATTATTAAATCAAGTACAATACTTATTCACAAGTCTTGCGAGAAAATATTGAATACACGACTTACGGATGATAGGGATCCTGGAAGATGTTAAAATTAAGAAATATTAAATTTGGCTTGACATAAGATTACAATTTGAGAGGAAAGCTATGAGATAATATTACAAAAAAACCGGCCAAAATGACCCATTGGAATGCAAGCTTATAGATTATTGTACGCTTATTACTTATGGAAGAAATTTCTTATTGTCATGATCTTCTCTAGGGCGTCTAAAATGAGGGAACAAAATCACAGCAGGATACAAAAATCTTTGAGTGGTAACTTAAAGGAAATACTCTAATATAGAATAACAGCACTCTCCAAGTTTTCATGATAAAGTTAGATGTATCATGATTACATTCACTACTTGCGGCAAGATTGGAGAAATCTTGTCAAGTCCCGACTCTGAAATCACTACAGTGCTGAAATTTGTTTTTTCACCAAAAACAAAAAGTTCATGTCCTAGTTCTGTTCAATAAAATGGCCAGATTGGCTGAAAAATTACGCTTCGGACTGGACCGTTAATTAAGACCAGATCTGTGAAAGAGGACCTCATCTTTTGGAAGTAAATTTTCCTTATCATTCTGCAAATGCGTGGAGGAAGAAAATGTGGAAATTTTGCACATGTTTGACCCTGAAATTGGAACCTCCAAAATTGAAGGAAATATTACTCGTAAAGTTCCGAGACAAAAATTATTGGATTGTAGAGAAACAAGGTTTAAGGGTTCCCAAAAAGTTAATGAAAATTTTCTCCTGGAAGATAAAGTCCCTTTTCACAGATCTGATCGCAAACCAATGTTCTGATGAATGTAGTCATTCGCAATTGATGTGTTAAGACAATTCATTTTGACGGATCAAAATAACTAAAGTTAAAAATTAGTCCTGTTCATGTATTTTTGATTACTGATTAGTAGGAGAGTTGCGGTTTTTTTTTAACCTGAGCAAGGCGCATAATGAGGCAGTTTTCTAAGGAGTTGTTTGATCTGCTATTGCCTTAGATGAATTTCTATCACAATTTCTCCTGGGGTAGTTTTTTCAGAGGGTCATGTTCATAGTCGAACCTTTAGTTTTGAGGCCTCATTCACCAATGTTATTCTTATGGCTTAGGGAAGCCGTAACATTCAAGGAACGACGAATATGACCCTGAAAAAATGAAACATTGATTTGAGATTATTTTAATTGGGAGGTAAAGGCTCCTCAAGAAGGTTATTTGTCAGAAATGTCTTATTCAATTGGAGAGAATAACTAATATTATTTTTTACAATGAGAAGTGCGAGTCTGACACAAACAATTTAAACAAAAAGATCTTCAACAATAAATTAGGGTGTAGATACCACTTTTAAGAAATTACACACACGAATTGGATTACATGGAAAATTAGATTGTAACCAATTCAACAATACAGACGAAATTTATACCTTAATATAGCAAGATGGGCAAAATTTTAAGAAATTATTACCAAATTATCTTGATTTTTAGAGGTTATGGGCTTTCTCTGTCAAATCACAGATTTTCGGCAGAAACTACAATAAGCATCACATCAAGATGATTCAAATGGTTGAGCGAGTTGCAAAAAAAACTCTTTCATGAATTTTCAAAAATATATAGCTTGAAGATTTTGTGCTTGAAGAGAAACAACAGATATGACACTGGTAAATAAAAGGAAACGTCAAAAAAATTGGTCAACATTGGAATGAACTAAAAGGAAATCCTTTAACCGGTTCGATTAAAATTACTGACGCAGTGAAGCTATGACTTCACTAAAAAGACTGATTAACAGAGAAATGTTAAAATTGTGCAAAAGCAGTGCATTTTTTAGATCCCCTAAGGAGCCATTTATAAAGTACATATCATTTTCAGGGAAAAGGGGTAGAGCGCGTCTATACTATAAATGCATATTACAGTCAGAAATTTTCAGCTTAACACAAGACACCAAATTTTTTGCATAATCTTAATTTAACCAAGAGACTACACATTTTACTCTATTTGCTGTTTTTTGACTGTAATACTCTCTTATCATCATTTAAAGAAACTTCAATTTATTTGAAACCATGCCTTTTGTAGAATCTCTGGAAAGATCAGGGTTAGAGTCAAGGTTGACGGAATTTGCAGGGGGAGTTATTCAGTAGAGCGTTACAGGGAAGGTGGATAGTGTCAAAAAACAGTAAATTGGGCGTCTCTGAAATTATGGATGGCTCCTTGCTGGAAGAAGTCAAAATCGTCAATTGTACTAAAATATTATGCTGTAAATTAATCAATTGAATTTAACATTAAAAGTAATTTTTGAACTGCAATGGTTTCCAAGACGGACGGTCTTTACAGAAAAGATAAAAATTGCCGAGATCAAATAGATCAAAATAATAACACAGCCTAAAAAATACACCACCTGTTATAAACCTTTAAAATGTATAACTTCGATGCACTGTAAAGCTATTTACACCAAGATTTCGAATTTTTCAAAATCTGAACGATAACAAAGCGAAAACAAAAACGAATAGAATTTGTAACTTAAAAGAATACAAAAAAGATTAAGGAACACAATGAAATAAAAATTTGATAATTGAGCTATAATTCCCGTTAAAGCCGTCTTCAATGATTGACATTAAATGAATTAAAAAGGATACTAAGTTCCATCGAAGCTGGATTTGCAACTGATGGATGGAAGACATGTGGGAACGAATACATACAGAAGAGAAATACTGTAAAAACTTAGTTACATGATTTACCTCTGTCTAAAAATTATTCCCTTTCCTGGTTCAGAAATGATTCAAACAAGTGTCAAAATCATAACGTTTCCTGTCAGTTTTCGAGTTTCACTTGGATCATTTTCGGGGAACCAGAATTTTGGGATGTACCTAACGCAAAAATAAAGGAAAAAAATCAAATGACTTGAACACAGAATATGGAGTTTCTGTTCCCAACAATACAGGATGGAATTTTGATGGAAGTAAATTTAATGATTAATTCCATCAATAAACCAGAGAAATTTTCTTCCATCATCAATACTGTGACGGTCTGCTGCAGTCATTCGTATCCTCGCGCCCTCGCGGGGATGCGCTTGGCTGTTGCGTAACACTCCCCTCCCCTGGACCTTGGTTCGCGACCAGTGACCGCGGCTGCCCGCCATCTTGAGCTTCATGCTTCAGTTAGGGATGTCGATACTCAGGGAAGTATCGATACTCGGTATCGATACTGGTATCGACTCTAAGCATCGATACCGGTATCGAGCATCGAGCTGAAGTATCGATACTTATGAGGTATCGATACCATCGATACTATTTCTAAATTATGCCGTGATTCTGAGTGTGCGTATGTCTGTCGGCCGTTAAATTCCGCCAGATTTACGCCTCTCTCGAAAAAGCCCTGTTCGCGTCCTTGGTCAACTATTTTGAGCCCTTAACTACAGTTATCGAACTGAGCTTTTAACATTTTCATTGAAGTATAATCATCTTGAGAAACTTGATTACTCCGTCGTTTGTCACAGTGCATCATAGAGGTGAAATAGTGGGGAGAGAGTTTTTTAAAAAAGAAAAAGAGGCCTTTTTCATGGCCAAATCAGACTAAGTATCGATACCGTCGATACTGGGGTCTTGGCATCGATACTGCATGGTATCGATATCGTGGAGTATCGATGCCGAGTATCGATGCCGAGTATCGTTAAGTATCGATCGAAAGTATCGATACTTTGCAAGTATCGGATAAGTATCGACATCCCTAGCTTCAGTCTTCGCTTGTCTCCCCGCGTCACTGGCCGTCGATCAAGGTTCCCTCCGTTTCCCTTCGGTTCTCTTACTTCTCGCTAGTCTTTTGCCTCATGTCGAGTTTTCTTTATTTTCGTGTATTTCGGACTGTGCCTTTTCACTGTTGTGTTGATCAATAAATCGTTGTTTCTATCCCGTACTCGCTCGTTTCGTCTCTTTTTGTTTCATGTGTTTTTCGTGTGCTATTCGTAGATATGCTCGTTTAAATTGTTACTGCCGCATAATTGAAATTTTTGTCAAATTTAGCTTATCATCGATGTTACGGTGAGCCGCCATCTTGTTTGTTTATTTACGGCCCTAAGAGCATCATGAAGCCTAAAAACTCGTTGACCAATCAAAAAGCGGAACAGTTTTCCTGTAGTAAAAAGATACGAATGGCCATACTCTGTCTAGAGTAGTAGGCCATACTCTGTCTAAAGTAATTCTAAAGTAAATGTAAAGTCATAAGAAACTTAAGAGATGAGTGCCTTTACCGAAATTTTTTGTATTGTATTGTATATTTTGTATTGCCTCTTGTGTCAAAGCACAGCAGCCCGACCTTGTAATAATAATGGTAATTGGGTCGAAAATTATACTGATTAAATTGTAATAATATTGTAATTCAAACCTTGTTCGGTTCAAACCTTTTTTGTTTTGAAACAAGTAAAATGAAACTGATCGAGTTGTAATCAGTTGAGATATTGTCAGTAGTCAGCCCCGACTGACCCTCTGAGGTGAGGCTTGCCCAGCGCACCTTATATCAGCCCAGTCAAACGTCTTCCCGTTTCAATACTATCCCTACATTTCTGAATATTTTGACCCCATTTGTTGGCATACTCTTGGAATGGATGCATTTTGTGAGTCCAATTCTCTTTGAGAATTCCAAGTAGAAATCAAAACCTGTCAACGGATGAAACGATTTTAAAAATTTTCAAAATAATGCGTAGATTTACCTCAATAATTTTCACTGAAACAATGTAGCCTGCAGTCTTACTCCTGACGAATATTTTCTTGAATCTAATTTCATGCATTCATGACAAGAGGAGGAAGAGTGACTGCAAGAAAGATTTTCCCTCTAAAATTATCGAATTTCTACAATTAGGGTTTTTGATTAACTATATGTACTGCATTTTTCACAATAGATTAACTTCCCAAGTTTCCACAATACACTGATTATAAAAATAACAATTTTAGAGTTTTGAGTAACATAATTGAAGGAATAGAAAATAGTAACAGAAAATACCAGCAATGAGTGGTTCATTATTCCTGTTTGGAAAACTTAAAAGCGATTCAAGGAGGGTTCAGAGTGTTGGCAATATTAAAAGAAGGAGAGGAAACACCAAGTTCCAGTTATAACACTATGATGTCACAATGTAGAGAGGGCATAGCAATGGTGAAACAAGAAAAACGTGTACACTGCACTCCATTGCCGTTCCAAAATTTTCACATACATATTATTTTGTCAAGAGAATATGAAGTATGAAATTATTCATGAAGTTTGCTGAAAATATCCTTGAAAAATACTTGGAATATTCCTCAGAAATTTTGCATAAATTATTCAAGAATGTGTTTTGAAAAGGAAAACCGTCATAAGAAAACTGCAACTCTTAACTACACTGTCATGCTAAAGAAAAACACAGTATGAGCATTGGAATGTTGCAACGTTTCTAGCGATAAAATATTTATTTTTGAGGAAAGTTATGAATATTTTTCCTTGACATTTTCAGACACTAGCTCGAAGTACAGACCAAATTCTCTAAAAAATTAGGGGGAATATGTTTACAGATTCCACTTAAATACTTGATTTGTCAAAGAAAAGTTGGCAACGTCTGAAGGCTCACACAGCGTTTTCACTTGGCACAGCAATACAACACAAGCTTGCAAGTTTTCCTGGTTTTAATATTGATATATTATCTGGGGCAGTTTTCACTATTGCTCTGGATGATGTAGAGCATACAGAAACCCATAGCAGCTAATACTGATTTGATTTAACAACTCATGAAAATAGAAACTTCATAGGTCATAGGGGCTTCAAGATGCTTGATTTAAAAGATTACTTAAAGCTGGCAATCAATGATTTTACAACTGCTTGTTTCTGTCATTCTCAATAAGATGATGTGAAAAGGTAAGCCATCCAGCAATGGAGAGAAATTTTGCGCTGAAAATATTTTCATGAGAGAAACTATAGGCCCTCTGAGAAGGTTCGAATTATTTACACTATGGAAAATGAACAGAACTTGAGATTGCCTTTCCTTCCTTGTCAATAAGATGACTTAGGAGTTAATGCTAGAATATCCTACAATAAATCTTTGGCAAGTGACCAAACTCTCCCTTTAAAAAAAAACACTAAATATCTTCACTTTTTTCTGCCACCTTTTCCTAGGTCGCTACTTTTGTGCTGAGCTTCTTAACCAATGATGGTGAACATTAAAAAGAGTTTGAAAAAAAATGACTAGACTTGAAAATATCATCGCTTTGGGTCCCCTTTCTAAAGAGGGTTTTCCGGGGGATTGAGAATGTTCAATATGGAAGTGTAAGACCCTACAAGGAATCCACATATGCCAAAAAGCATTATTAACAGATCCTTGATGAGCGTCCGGTAGCTGAAGTCTTTCTCGTAAAATGTTACCATCTCTAATAGTGGTGGAAAAATAAGGGCTAGCGTAGAACTACTCACAGCACCGACCAAGGAAATAACTGCGCTTAGATCGGGAATGATTACAGCCAACAAAACTGAAATGAAAGAAACAAATATAAAGTTAGCGATGGAAAAGCGATTAGAGGGCAAACGAGCATTTTAAAATTCTTTTTTTCCGAGCTGCAGATTTACAACATTGAATAGGAAAATCAAGGGAAAATGGCAACTTCAATTTATTAAGGAAGTAAACACTTTAAATGATTACTTCTAAAAAAATGTCACACTTAAGTTTTTATTTAAGAGAACTCATTACTATCTTGCTCGAAATTTCCGCCAACAGTTCTCTTGTGGGAGAAAAATAATTATAAGAGACATATTTTTAGATTGCTGTCTAGCAAAAAATAGCATTTATATAATTTGAGCTTGGTGTTAAAATGTTCATAACGCACCAACAGTAAATATAAACGAAGATCAACTATGAAACTTTGAAAAAAATCATTTTGTCACATCTGTCTAAATATTTCACAATAATTTTTTTAAAGGGGTGTATGCAAAATCGACAAAAATTCCCCTTGACCAATTTTCAGTATGTAATTCCTCACTATGGGATACGCCTTTTCCCAAAATTTCAAGGCCTGAAATGAATTTCTTTCCGCGTAGCAGCGTTGCCAAGTTGAAAACTGTCGAATTCCATATCTTTTGAACGAAAATAGATATTGAGGTGCGGTTTGCGCTAAAATTCTTCAAAAACTGCGTTCTTTTGAAATGTGTACTCACTTTGATCGTTTAGGTAATTTAAGATTGCAATGATGCCATTTTTTACACTTTCGTAAGGGTCAATTTTTTTTCAACCCTAGTACATCGTCAAATGCCGGATTCTCGATTCGAAAAAAATACTATTCATTCTACTATTCGTACGTTTCCATTTCTTTTGATATATTATAGCTCCCAGGGAAACGATTGGTAACGGAGATATGATCAATCTAAGTTTACGCTCCGCGCGCGCCGACTGGAATCCGGGCGCCGCTCGCCGCTCTGAGTCGTCTGCACACTCCCTTCCTTCAGCTTCACGTGGTCAATCCTACGTATTTTTTTGCGTACTTTCCATTTCTGGCCTTTGAAAAAGGCTCCGATGAATTTTTAGGGGCCTCGCGGTCCATTGTTGCCATTTTTTGCTCGTATT